CAAGGGTTTATTATATAAAGATAGGGCCTACCAACTGACTAAATAACAATAATATTTACAATTTTTTCCTAGCTTTAGTTTTCGCAAAAGTATCAATGACTTCGTTTAAATCCAGGCTTGATGCGGTTTTGTTTTCAATTGCTATTAGCAATAAATGTCGGAGTCGAGTTTGGCCCATATTATTTCTTAAATATTTTTTTATTATTTTTAATTTGCTAAATGACCTTTCAGCTGCTGCAGAAGTGACAGGAATTGTAAAGAATAATAACATTGCTGTAAATACTTCCGTTAGGTCGCATTCTAGCACTCCATATTTGCTCATTATTTCCTTACATAATTGGTGAACAGTCCATGCTTGAGTTAGTTGAGGAAAAACTAGGTGGTAAATATTAATAAATTGAAGTGAAAAACTAGGGCCTATTATATCTGAATATTTTCTTTGGAATTCGTCACACTTTTGTAATAAAGTTGCTTCATCAACATGTAATAAAAATGTTGGTGTTAGAAAATCGAATATATGACAGACTGCACTCATACCAATAAAACGTGTATCTAATTGAGATATTACTGTGTCTAGTACATTATTGAAAATCTCAATTTTAAATATTTTTTCTCGGTTTGGAAATCGGTGATCAGCAGCTAATTCATCAAAATGTTTTTTAACTTTTCTTTGCCTTTTTTCTTGAAAATGGGTATCAATACCATATTTTCTTGCAGTTTCACTGGCTTTGCACTTGAATAATTCGAAATCATTTCTATAAATTTGCAACTTTGCTTTGGTCTCTGCTAAAACTTTACTCGCCTCGCCCAAATTGATGTCGCATTTTTGTAAAGTTTTGGATGCATAATTGATGTCGTATAGATTAGGAGTAGCTAAGCGAAATGTAATGTAAAACAAACAAAAGTTAAAAAATTTGTAAAAAAAGCACTTAAAATCACAATAGCTTTCGAACAAATTAGAATTTTGACGGAAAAAAAAACTCACTGTTAAATTCAGAAACAAATGTTGCCCTTTCAGCATGCCAAATTTCAACTTCTTATTTACATATTCCTGTGGTCTGTAGAGCAATCCGTGTGGTATTTTCCTCCCGCAACAAGTTTAACAGTTAGAAATTATCGCGTTTTATAATTTGCGTTTAGTTCACAAATAGAAGTAGCTCTTTCAGCATGTCAAATACAGTCAAACCCCGCTATAGTGAACCTTCAAGGGACCGAAATTATGGTTCACTATAACCGGGAGTTCACTATATCCGTTCCTCAGACAATTTAACTAATGGTTCCAAACTCCTCCTTTTATTATACATTATTTAAATAAATGACTGAAAAATAATAGATATGTAGTAACAAAATATGTGTTAACTTTTATTTTTATTGCAAATATTGGCTTGATTACATCCATTTTTCAGTTTATGTCCATCTTATCTTAAATGAAGAACGTTTTACATTTACTGCTCGTCATAGTTTAATTTGTGACACTTATTTGCAGGATTCCTTAACTGAACTGAGAGTGTAAACGAGTTGAAATTCGTGCCTTATCTTCACAGATTAGTGTCCACCCCTTTGACCATTAATTAATAACTACGCATTCCAATGCTCTCTCTCTGATAGGAAAGAAATATTGACCCCTTACAGTTGCAACATCTGCTGGTGTTGGCCTTTGTTTAAGGATGGGAAAGTGAGATNAAAAAAACTTAGAAATAATTATTATTACCTTTGGGCATATCCAAAACTTGCCGCAAAATGTGATCATATCGGGCGACAAGCTCTACAAAGGACAGAAAATTTCCGTGGTATCCTTTCTGACTTAAGTCTTCTTGATGTCCTCTCAAAGCCAAAGAACTCTTTGCTAGGGTAAGTATGATATCGAATAACCTTTGAAGAACCATTTTCCAAAATGATGCTTCTTTGCGAATTTCATTTTCAAGTTCCTTATCGATAGTATTAGTATCGTTTTTTTTTTCTCCAAAATTCATACACAGCACATGCTTCCGAATGGCCACTCGAACAACTGTGTTGTTTAATTCTTTCTGATAAATGCTTCCAATCTCAAATTCCCATACACCAAACATTATTCTTTTGTGAAGCAAATAACCAGCAGGGTTGACAATAGGCAGCGTCTAGTATTTGGGAATAACACAACCAAAAACGATTAACTGGCCCATATTTAGAACACGAAACGTAGTACGATTTTGAAAAACACCTATTGTTCTGGTTGATGTCTGTTGGAAAAGGTCCAGAAGGCTGTAACCATTAACCATCATAAAGTCATTTCCCAAGTCATAAGAAGATTTGTCGTACACATTTTCGAAAAATGTAGAGAACCCCCCGCTCTTATGTGTGTCATGCAAACATCATCCACGTTCACATGATCGGCGGCGGAGGTATCTCCAACTGCAATAATTGTCGAATCTTCTTCAGTAGGCTTCTCAACCAACACTGCAGTTACCACATTATTTGAGTCACTATCAATAGAAATATTTTGGCCAGATGCACTTGCAGAAGGCTGACTAAAAAACTTGTCAATTTTGGGCAATTTTTATTTACTATCTTCTCTTTCTTGGCGTTGTTTGCGTTTAAATGCACCACTGGGTTTCTTCTTATCCATTATTTTAGTTTTCTAATTTATTTAAACAATACAATATTGGATTGTGCTCGAGTAGGTAGGTACTCACTGTTCACTGACGACGTTAAAAGTAAAATAAAAGGAAAGAGAAACACAATGATACGCTACAAGTGTCGTCGGGGAATCCCCGGAAGAAAAAAAATTATCACCGTTAGTGTTACCACATTTAACGGTGGAGACTGTAATGGTTGGCAACTGTTTGGCGACCTTTCAAGGTGCACTTGGCGCATTTTGTCATCCCGTCGGAGGGATGCGAGAGAGAGAAAGGTAGATGTATGTTTGATATAATCGGGAGAGGGCCGGCCAGGTGGCCGAGCGGTTAGCGTGCCTGACTGCGAAGCCATAGGCTGCGGGTTCGAATCCCGCTCTGGGCATGGATGCTTCTCTCTCTCTTTGTGCTATCCTCTGTTGTGTGTATGATGTGTGAATGTGGCCCACCCTATAAACGGGTTTGTGGCAGTGTGGCGTGGGCAAGGTGCCCACTGGGTAACGCGAAATGAGCAACAATTCTGGCATAGTATAGGCAAAGATTCAAAATTCAGTGCCTGCCATTGGACAAAAAAAATAATAATCGGGAGAGGGTCTCCCTTGGTATTCTAAGAGCTGGAAGCTCTTACTGGAAAACGATGCCTATTTCTTTTGTTTTTAAATAAAGTTTTATTGTTTTAAAAATCTGGCCTGCTTATTTATTGGAATGGAAAGGCATTACAGAGACCATGAGCGATCTCCTGCCCGCGGACCTGAATTAATGTACCTACTGCATGTGACTTGCATTTTTCACGATATTTCGAGTTATACAATGAGCTGTAGCCGAAATCTATAGATTTGACACGATTTATTGACTTAACGGACATCAATATGAGTGGTAAAATCAAATAAAATTGAACCACTATATTGACCAGTACAAAAAAGTTTATTGACCTTAGCTTACTTACACCTGATACAGCATTAATTTTTTAACCGTTCTGGAAAAAAAATCTTAACTCAAATTCACAATAAAACGCACATCGATGAATAATAAAACGCACATATCACTATCAGTCAAATTGACAACACTGCCAACCTACAGAAAGAATTTAGGGGAATTCCCTAGGCATAACTTTTGAATTTCTCTCAACTGAGTTGTCATGATTAAAGTGGGATTGCAACTTGTCATATTTATTTTGAAAATGGGAGAAATTTCCAAAAGTTCAGTTCGATCGAGATTTCTGGTAAGGATTCGAGGGCCCCCTGAGCTTGAGGGCCCCGGGGCACTGCCCCGCCTAGCCCCTAGGTAGCTACGCCACTGACTCCACAGATTCAAAGCAGCAACTTGTCTGTTAAGATAATTGAAAACATACTATGTTGAGTTCAGATCAGAATATTTGGATGGCTCGTCTCTCCAATAAATACATTCTAGGAAATCCTCAGCTTGATGAGGTCCATGTGGCTGCACGCTGCTGTCATTAAAATGAAAACAAAACCAAATAAATTCCTAAAAAGCAACACAAAGCCCCAAGATCACATCTCAATACTAAAACTAACAACGTGACCTCTTTCAAAAACATGGAGGGTCTTTGGGGAGCGGTTATCCAGCAAAGGGACAAAGAGAAGGGGTTATTCAACATAATGCCTTCTGAGACAATCAAATATCTGCTTCCATAATGGTCATAAAAAGACCAACCAAAAACACATGATGTGCCCTCTATTGTTTGAGAAATTTGTCATTTTTGAGCAGCAAGCATACAAGAAAGAGAAGAAAAAATTCCTGAGGATTTTGGATGTTTTTCCTGCGATATCCAAATTTTTAATTCATTCTTTTTTCTTTTTTTTATTTCTCTTTTCTTCAAAAGAGATGTTATTTTCCTTGTCAATAAAAAAATGTTGCAAGTATGCCCAACCCTTATGCCCTCAAAAGTGAATGCCATTGTTCACTTTTTTGTGAAGTTTCTTCTCTTACTACCCAGAACTTAGTAGTTTAGTTTCAGACTTATACTAACCTCATTTTTCATCAACAATCTTTAACTAAACATAAGTGTTCATTTGGAATAGATGCTGATTTTTCAGAGAAAATTGCACATGCTCATGCTTTTTATCAACTATTAACCAACACAGGTCAGGACAACTTGTAAACTGTTCAATTTGATAAATCAGAGTATTTTTTTGTATTTATTTATTTATTAATGATGAATTTTTATTCATAAATTTATTATAAACATGATTTTTTTTCAAATTTCTAAATTTAATTTCTAAGCATAAAATTTAATAGCAATATCTCACAGAATTACTTTTTAAAAATTTACCTCTGTTCAGCAAACAGAATTATTGAAAAGCTATAGTGATTCAATACATTTCTGTTGTTAATAAAGTTCATAAATTAACTAATAAAACAAGACAGTTTTATTCAAATACATTTTATTCAGGTAAAATGGTAAATCAATAACAATAAGGAAAAGTTAAGAGAGTATTTAATTTTTAATTAAACAATTATTCTAATTAAATAACTTAAACATTTTAAATTTCAAAAAAAATTCATTCATTGAAATTATAAACATTAAAATCTGTCAATATAAAATATAATAAGTTTAATTCCACAGAGTATTTTTAATATGTTCAGTCATTGAATTGTTTAAAACATAGACAATAATAGTGACATATTTCTTTTTGTTTGAGCAATTTAATTTTTTGTACTGCCATCTGCAGCATTTCAAAATTTTAATGAAATTATAAAATCTAATTATAACATAATAACGCTTATAAATATGAAAGGGAGTTCTTAACTTCTTTAATTATAATTTGACTAAACGGTTATATTTGGTTTATATCTCTCCCTGAGAATGCGGTGGAATGAAAATTACAGTTTATAGCCAGGGTAGTCGGAATACAAGTAATTGTATAATGTATATAAATTATTTTCCTAATGTTATATATAGAAAAATCTTTTATTAGTAAATAAATGGGATTTTTATTTCAACCATAAAATTTTAATCTATGCATTATTGTCATTCAAATAATGTTATCATGAAAATAAATTGTTCAATAATACTTGACTTCGTAAAATAAAAATATAATACGAATGTAAGATACAGTAACTCATGGGAATGTTTAAAATAAAATACAAATCATAAAAAAATCAAATTTTAGAATATTTCAGTTTGACCACAAAACAAAAACGAAAAAAGTATAAGCAGTAAATTGCATAATAAAGCTCTTAATCAAATTATTCAGACAAACAAAAAAATTAATTTAAAAAAAAAATAAAGTTTTTGATCTGTAATAAATAAAATCAGATCTACTGAACAAAATCAACAATAAATAAAATAAATTTTAAAAATACATACATTTTGGGAAAATATAGGAAAAAAAGAGATTTCTAGGTTAATATGAAATAGTAAAACTCTTTCAAATGGACGGATTTTAAAGAAAAGAAAATATCAAAAAGGTACTTCATCATTAACAGAAAACTGTACAAAAAATGGAATACAACAATGCACAAAGTGGACGGATATGAACGCACTGAAGCACTCCTTACAAAAAAGTATGTATGACTGTGATACACTATATGATAAGTCATAAAAGGAGGTACATAAAAAAGTTATTTATTTAGAATGTTCATAAAATAATGTTTCAACCATAGAATAAAAAGTAGATAAAACTGCTATATTTATTACATTTGACACTAAGATCTAAAAAAAGCATACTTATTTTTAAGCTCTCTGAAAATTAAATATTTGTTTTATAATTTACCAAATAGTAATGCCACATAGCTTTCGAAATGCTATTTACATATAACAAAAATAAGAAAATTTATTATTAACATTAAAGCAAACATTTGTATACTTCTATGTATATTAAAGATGTTTTGATGATTATATATAAGTGTATGTGTGCTTAGATGTATAATTTTTAAAATTGTAAAATTATAATACACACAATATAACAATATACATGCAAAGATATTCTGTTTATCAAAAGGCTGGCTTAGTATAAAACTATTGCATAGTGACTAGCTGTGGGAGAAATATAACTTGAATATTTTGTATCTGCACATATACAAATAACTATATGCATACACAGCTTAAATTTGACATATATGGTCCCTATAATCATTGCAAAATAGGTACATTTTCTTATTATATTCGCCATACAGCTCACCTCAAAATAAATTCCTTAAAAAATTAAAATCTCAATATCATTTTATTAATTTAAGTAATATGATTAATCATGAAGACTAAAAAAAATAACAAATTAGCGAAGATAATAATGATTTCAAGAATATCTATACACTTAAAATATTATTAAATAATATTACAAGTAAAAATTGCAGTAAATTTCAAAATATATAGTATATCTTATTTATACTTATATTTATTTATATGAAGTGAAAAAGTCTATCTAAACAAATTTTTGATAGCTTAAAGCAAAAAGTATTGTAGTCCCATATATTTTTCTATCATACTTGACAAATGAATTAATGCCGTTTACTGTTCACTTTACAATAAAAGAATATAAAAATTTTATGTAAATTATGATTTGAATTCTATTATGATTAAAATTCATAAATTACTCTAAGTTATGAAATCTATAAAAATTTATGTAACTTGAAATTAAATATAGAGTTTCAACAGAAAAGTAAATAAAAAACTAATTGAATAAATGTGAATTCTCATTAAATCAAATACTAAAACTAATTAAAAAATGTCATGCCATCTTTCAGCAAAATAAAGATATTTATTAACTCATTATTATATTGGGAAACTGAAACATCTAAAAAGGAATTTCGAAATATGTAAATTTCCAAACCAGATGCAAAATAATAGCACTGACATATAAAACAGATAATAAAAAAAACTCCAAAATATGAATATCAAAAATCAAAATATTTCATTGTCATAAAAATCACTCGGTTATAAAGAAAAATGTACAAAATTTATCACTAGTTCCATTACCAACAATAACTATATCCATGAGATTTCCCAATTGTTTCAAAATGAATATGCTTAGAAAAAAACTTATGAATTTTTGTGAAAAATAGATGACTGATGTTTTAAAACACAGACATAATACAAAAGAAAAAACAATGAAAAATTAGAACACACTGCAAAGGCACTTGTATAAAAATCACAGTTTTTTGTTTAAAGTTAACCTTCCAGACCTATAAGGAAAAAAAAATTTAAGTCACTAAGAAATTGACATAATCAATATATATTAAGAGAAAATAAAAACCACATACCAAATACAAAATGATGCTTAAATATAAGGAAAAATGTAATTGATATACAAATTCCAGCTTCATAATTAATGAGAGATGCAACACTTTTTCGATATGATGCTGAAGCCTCACCTACAGAAATTTAAATAAATTAAAATCTACTAACTTTTAATAAAACAAATTAAATTTATTGCACTATTGATACACATTTTTAGAATTGACAAGAAATCAGCAAAATATTTACAAGAACGAATTAAAATAGAAATATAGTCTAAAGCAAGGTCTTATTAAATTTTCTAAGAAGTAAATTTGAAAATGCAAAAACTTTCATTCATAATCTATAAATACTTTCATCCAAGTCATGTGATATTTTAATAATAAAATTTAATATTATATTGCTTTATATTGGCTTTTCTTCTCCCTGAGAGTAAAATTACATAAATAGTTAGTACTGTACTCAAATATCAAAATGAATCTAAATTATCAATATTCGATAAATTCATATCATTTTGATACTTATATAATATTTTATTAAAGTGTAATATTATATAAGTGTAACATTACATTAAAGAGGTAAAAGTGCAGATTAATTAAACTAGTATAAGTCTTTTAATAAATGTTTAATCACATTTGCATACATTACTTGTTATAAAGCATAGGATTAAAATATATGAAATTCCTTCTATTATTATTTTATTTAACTAATGAAGATATTTATTTTATATTATCCTCTAATAAATGAACATATAAGTAAAAGAAATTATTTAAGGGTATTTATTTTCTTAATCATTTAAATAATATGAATTTCATTTTATTGCATATTTTTAAGTTTTCAAACAAAATCCTCTTCAAAGGAAGCTAATCAACAAATAAAGACTTGTAAACACAAATTTTATGGGTCATGAGAATCTTTGATAGATAAATCCTTCCTCATCATTTGGAGGTGCTTAAATGAGTTACAATAAATCTATTGCTAATTTATTAACTTTTTAATGATGATCATTAATTTTCCATTTAACATGAGATGGCAAGAGAAAACGTGCAACAAATAAGAAATTACAGTATTATGAAAAAACAACAAGATTCATACATAAAAAGGAAATAAAATTCCAGTTCAGGGATAAATTTAAATACAAGGACAACTAATTACAGCTTATTTATCAGTCTATATCTAGGCACAAAAAAAAAACCGTTTGAAAATTGACTTCTGAGCAGTAGGGATAAAACAAAATAGAAAGGTTTGATCAAATATGCTCAATATTCATAAAAGTGAAATCAGTAATTTAGAAAAATTAAATAAAACTGCAAAAAAAGAAAGAAAAAAGGCCAAATAAATTGCTAAAACTGGCAATTTAACTGGCATTTTTGCAGTTTAATTTCTTATAACTTTATAAAAATGAATTAGTGAATGTTTGAAAAAACTTAAATTACTACTATCAATTTTCTTTAATCAATATCTTTAAAAGTCTCATTTTATGAGTTTTCAATCACTTTAAAAAGTACATGATAGAAAATATTCTTATTTTAAACAGGCAAAAGTTCAACTATCAACAATAAAAAGAGTAAAAGTTTATTATAAATGCTACTTTGTTGGTTTTACAATGCAACTTTAGTTTTTTTAATTTATAAATATTAAAAAACAATCGTCAAAAAATACCACTTTTGATTTAATTTAACATAATTTTAAAATACTACAAGAAAATTATACAAACCAATTTTAAATTCCCGAACAGGAGATGACATTTTGCCATCACCTCCATTACTGAAAGCTAGAACCCTAAGCTTGTAAACTTTGCCCATAGTAAGGCCAGATACTACAACTTCCAAGTCATTTCCATCCAAATATCTGTAAACTTCTTTTGCACTTGTCATATCTTGGTCAGATTCCCAATAGCGAACCTGAATTCAAAATAATGAGTTTCATACTTGTAAGTTTCTGGTCATTACATTGCTACTTTAATTTGAAAACAATAAAAAAAAATGAAATGAAAATTATTTATCTTTCAAAACAACTACATATATAGTATACAGTACAGCTTTTATATTTATCTTATAAAAGATTTATGCTTTTTTTTTCGGTTATGTATACTAACAGCCAAAAACGAGAAGAAGTTATAAAATATAGTTTCTGGACACTTTTGTACAACACTCTAGATATCTAAAATATGTACAAGATGAATCAGCTATTGTTTTAGAACAGTCTATCTAAACAAACAAAATAAACTGACATTAAGCAAAAAAGTTATGAAAGCTTATTATTAATTAAATTTCAAGTTTTTTATAATTTACTTTTCGTCATATATTGGACTGATTTCTATGAAGCAGCAAATATTAGTACGATAAAGTAAGCAATATTATCAGGGATTCTAGGCGAATTTTTTTTCTACAGTTAAGCTAGATTTTTCACTCAAACGGTTTATCATTTGTCCATTAAAATAGAGTATAAAAAAAAAATTTAAGAAGTCAAATTATATTTTATTAACATCAAAAGAAACATTATGATTAATTCAATAGCAGTGATATTTTATAAGAAAAGAGTTACTTTTACCTTGTATCCTTTTATTGGTTCTTCTTCAGTTGATGGTAATACACCTCGCCATGATACTGAAACACTAGTTGGGCTGATTCTTTCAACTCTGACATTTGTTGGTGGTCGTAATGGAGCTAGAAAATATCAAATTAACAGGACAAAATAAAATTTGGGAAGGTTTGATTTAAAATTTAAAGAGTATTTTTTTAAGCATTTAGCTTGTTTTCTTTTTCTTTTAAAAAAAACACTGAGGTAGTCACATAATTAATTAAGTTTAGAAATAAATTATAGTTTTTCTACTTTGCATTTGTTACTAATGTAAAACTGGTTGTTGGTTTGTTAAGGAAAATGAAATGACACGAATATTTTCCTTTTCAACTTTTTCTAAAAGTGTATCCATAAACCACATTTGAAAATTTTATTATTGTAAAAATACAAAAAGGAACATTTAAGGCTCTGTTAAGGAATAATTAATATTATTTGGGAAAAAAATTTTATAATTAAACAGTGCTGTACTATTTTTTTTAAATTACTTTTTCAATGATAATTTATTTTTCAATAATAAAAAAATACTATCAACTTAAAAAACAACCAGAGATTTCCTAAAACACTTTGAAATGTACATTAAAAAAATACTATTTACATACATTTTCAATATATTTGAAATCTTGTGAAAATATTATTTTAGCTTAAGATAAAAAGAATTTATAACAATAAAAAGAATTTAACTCCACTGCCAAACTAAACTTGAAATAGAAGGAATTTTTTAGAATGTTCTTGTAAATCACAGTGTTGGAAAGCCTGATTTGAGATAATCTTTTAAAAATTATTTTTCAGTTCTACATTAATTAAGAAAGTTTTATTCGTTTGAAGTTTAAAAAGTAAGGATTACTCACTTGACTTATAGAAAATGAATTTAAGCGAAATTAAATAAAAAAAAATTCTATATGATTTATCATGATCAAAAGTTTATCAATATATGAAATGATCAGAAAATCCTTTTTTTCTGAGGTATAAAGATTTCAATGTTAAAATAATGCTATCTTCTTTGCAAAGGGTCTGCAACATCTATATATATATTTCTCTTACACGGCGATAAAAAAAAAAATTCTCATTACAACTCCCCAAATGGCAACGCTAGAAAATCGTCCAATGATTGCCGCTAAAAATGTCACATGAGGTGGCTCAACATATAGCGTCTTTAAAAACGGAAACTGAAATAACCAGAGAGAATCAGCTGCGACAATCTCATACTATTAAGCTAGGCAGAAGTGAGTAGTCTTTGTCGATAGATCTCTATTTTAGTATTTTGTCGAAGGCAGTTTTTTTCACGGATTTATATATTACGAATTTATTTGACATTTTTTATTCCTATGATACATTTGATTCCATCGGACAACAACATGTCATTTTCTTTTAAAAGAAAACAGTTCCCAGTACGTCTAGCTTTCTCAATGACTATAAATAAGTCACAAGGCCAGATTTTTGAAAGAATCAGTTTAGTTTTGACTAAACCAGTTTTTAGTTATGGGCAACTTTATGTTGGCCTCTCCAGGGTAAGATCATTTGTCAGCCTAATAGGGATAGCTCCAAGTCCAGAAATTTACAATTGTGTGTTTAAGAAAGTTATTAATCTTTAATAATTACTTTTTTGCTGCAAATTAATGTTTAGTTTCTGCAAGTTTTTCTTTTCTATGTCAAAGTTCTAAGACTTATACTAATGTTTTTAACAAAGTTGTGAATCGTTCATGGTTACTATTTTTTAAAAACATAATGTTTTGTTTATGCAGGTTTTTCCATTGCAATTCACTTATTTCAATTTTTAATAGACTTAATTATAGCCAAAATTTTAACCTTTTTAAAGAGATATCAGTTTTAGAAATTTTATCTTAAGATTTTATACTATAGCACATTTCTAATAGGTTTAACGAATTACATGTCATTTATTTGAATTCAAATTTATTTTAATGACTTAGTATTTACTAAAAAGATGTAATTTTTCTTTTAAAAAAAATTTGTTATATGGATTTGAATGATTGTTTTGAAGTCTTAGAATTTTGCGTATTTGCAACGTACCTAAGTTATTAGCGAGCGAAGCAAAACATATAAGCTTGCATAGCAATTTTCGGAGGTTGGCGAGCGTTAGCTAACAGGGGGCGCAGCCCACTAGTTATAATTATTATTATTGAAAACTTAGATTTCTGGACATCTTACTTATTGAGATTTTGTAATGTGATAAAATGATTATAAGATAATAAAATTTTAAGAATTCTATTGATATTTAATTTCCATAAAATATGCTTTGATAAGCTTTTAATAATTGTCTTTAAAGTAATTTTCTGACAAGATAACCCAAATAATATTAACAAGAATCTAATGACAGTAGAGAGATTTATTAGTTTAGCATCATTAAGGGGCCGTTCAAAAAGTACGTACATCACAAAGGGGGGAGGGGATTTGCAATTTTTTGCGGTTTTGTAGGGGGAGGAGGTATTATACAAAGTACGTACATTATAAGCATACACCAAATTTAAATTTGACTTTTTCCTACACATGTATTATACATATGTTTGTTCTTGTATTTTATTTCCCACGGCGACCACTTGTTAGAATGAGTAAATCAGTTCTCAAAAAAAGTTGTCTCGTAAAATAAAAAACTGCAAACACCAAACTTTCCCCGAAACGTTTTCTGGTACCGGGTGAAAACATCCTCCTCCAATCACAGCACTGCTGCCGCGAAATCCAAAACCTCTCCACCTTCCATTTCGCGGGCACCCCCATCATTCTTCCCTTCCCTCCCTCTACATCCCATACACCGGCTGCTCGCTAGTGAGCTTGATCTCCCACTCCCTAAATGTAAGTGTACGGCCCCACATCGGAAAAGCAATTTCCCAGTGAAAACATTCATTAAAGTGTCATTTTATCCGGAGTTCATAATTTCCCCATGACGTATTAAACAGAGTTTGTTAACACTAAATCCAATGCAAATCAATCGGGACTTGAAAAAAAGCGCCGAAATAACCGGAGTGACGAATTAAGCGAGTGTCAAATTATCGAGGTCAGACTGTAGTAATTTTTGATGAAATCTTTTTAGACTAAACATAATTTATTTCTCTTTCTATGTAGCAGGTAATTATAAATTTATATAACAGCTTTTTAGTCATATTATAAATGCATATAATTTTATTTTACTTATTTTTTCATTATTTTTATCATTTTATGTGATAAATTTTACAATGGATAAAAACAAGAAATTCCAAGAGTTATTTGCACAATACAAGCTTGTTTTTCCTGAATTGAAACGTGGAAAATCACAACAGATTGCAAGTGATTTTTGGAATGATGTGAAAACCAGTGACAAATTTGAAGTAAAGGCCGATCAAAAAAAATGTGATTTATGTCTTCTAGCAAAAAAGAAGAGAAACACACTTGATTCATTCCGGATAATGGTATAATAATACAAATACTTGACTTTATGTGATATTGTTTTTATTTTTTGTTCATTTAATTAAATTCTTCGGTTTACTGTAAATTAACATAATATCTTTTTCAGAATACACAAAATCAAAATGCAACAAAATCTTCTGTTAATTCGAATGTGAATAGTAACAAAGCCAGCACAAGTGAGGCATCATCTTCAAACGAAACCAACAACCTTTGCCAGGATAAGCCTAATAAAAAGTCAGACAAACCCAAATTTAAAACACCTGCACAAGATAAATTATCTCAAGAAATCATAATTTTGGAAAGTGAAGTGCAAACACTGAAAAAGAAGCAAAATGCGAATTTGCTGAAAGAAGGAGAAGCAAAAGAGTTGAAAGAAAAGAGGGACTTAGTGCAAGAAAAGATAAGTAAATTAGAAAAATCAAAGAAAGAACAAGAACATGCAAAAAAAACAGATCTAACTTTAAAAGAAAAATTGCTCAAATTTCCAAAAGTGACAAGTCTGCAACGCCATTGATAAGAAAAAAGAAAGGAAGACCTACCGTTGAAGAAAATCAGCCTGATCTCTTCAAAACTATTATTGAAATTGCGACTTATGGAAGTGCAGCTGATCCAAAGCGCAGAACAGAAACGATTAATTCTATTAAAACATTAGACGAATTGACTAATGTTTTGAAAACTCAATATGGTTATAATATAAGTAGATCTGGCGTTTATTTACGATTATTACCAGGACAATCAAATTCAGGAGAAGGAACACGACATATTCAAACGGTTCCAGTGAAACTGGTGAAAGCACAAAATGAAACTCACAAAACCCATATGGATTCCAAGTTTGCAGCTGCAACTATACAAAATTTGGAACTGTTGGCATCAATTTTGGGTCCAAATGAGGTTTTTTTCATAAGCCAGGACAAAACCCGAGTGCCAATTGGGATAACTGCTGCAAACAAGCAGTCGCTATTACTGATGCATGTAGAATATCGTGTTAAATTACCGGACCACGACTGGATAGTAGCTCCATCTCACAAGCTCATTCCTTCCGTGTACGCTCTTATCAAAATCGAAAATTTTCAAATACAAAAAAGAAGTGCAGTGACATACTAGGGAACGACTTATACAATTATAAGATCTTCACAAATTTAGAGAAAAAGATCTAACTTGGCAACCTAAGCACGTGAGAAATAACCAATATCTACTACTAATCGTTAAGTGTAACGATGAATCCTGTTGTTCTAAATTTCGGAGTTCAATTCTTAAGCTTGTGCCTAACAGATTTTTAACAGCGCCTGTGCCCATAGCACAAACTGAAGATGGACTTGATATTAATAAACCACGAGGAACTTTTCCATCAGTATTTTTATCTCAAACGTTAGACCACATCTCAAACGTTAGCAATTGTAAAAGCTGCTGTTAATCAAAAAATAGGTTTGAACTCCATCACAGAAATACCATACGATGCAGCATGCCCATTGGTAGAAGGTGATATCAAACATAAAATTTGTCCTACTTGTGGTACATATTTAGCATCTTTAGCTTGTTTGAAAGATCACAAGAAAATATGCAAATCTTCTTTGCAAATCAACAAAGTAAAACCAGTTCGTGTAGCAGCTCGTCGACAGAAAGAACTTTTGGTTATCCTTCGAAACCAGGAAAACGAAGATGATGCAGAGTGGATCGAAGATGATCCCTTTGATGAAGATAATCTAAATTTTTCATCAGTAGCAGACAAGAGTAACGCTGAATTGGTGTCTCACGAGAAGCATTTGGAATGTCCTTGGGAAAATACTGCAGATTAATTGTATTGATTGCAGGAAATTATTACGTTGATCACAAAAGAATGTGTTATTTATTGATTCAAAGATTAAGTTGGGTGTTATTGTTTAAATAATTTAAATGCATAAATTATTTTAAATAAATATTTAATTTTATTTAAAACATGATTATTTTAATTTTTATGAAAAAGGGGGGTAGACTAATAAAATGTACGTACTCTAAGGGGGGGGGGTAAGACCTTATGTAGGGTAATGTACGAAGAAGGGAGGGGGTTAAAAATTCTCCATTTTTGTGTACGTACTTTTTGAACGGCCCCGTAAATAAATTTTTGAAAAAATTTTGAATATAAATATTTTAGTTTTTATATGCAGGGTTGCCACAGCAAAAAATAAACAAAAATAGTTGCTTTTAGTAGCCTCAAGCAGGAAAATAGTTGCCTAAAACTACAAAAATAGTTGCCTGAACTGGGACAAAAATTTATCAAAAATAGTAGCCAAATAACTAAAATTATAGCTTAATTGTCATATACTATGATTAGGACTGGGTGATGTCAGAAATTTTAAATTGTGATACATTGTCCATTAGATATCGCGATTTAGCATATATTCAAAAATTACCTGTGGCAAATCTTTAAATCAATCAAAAATAAATAAAAAGGAATAAATCCATTACAGAAGAAAATATTAATTCTAAACATATTCCACTATGACATCAATATCATTGCTTAATTTTTTCTATTAAAATAATAAAGAAGTCAAAGTAAAAGCAAACCCAAGCTTTATTTCATTTTGCTTAAATTAAAAATGATTTAAGATTTATTGGTTTAAAAATAATAATATTGTAACAAAATATTTTATATACAAGCATTAAAAATTATAAAATAAATAAATAAATGAAAAAAAAAGTAGACAACAAACCAAAGAAATGTTCACTTTAGAAAAAAAAACTTTTTTTTAATTATTTGCTGAAAAAAAAAAACATGCTTTCGAAACAACATTAGACCCTCCTTTATTTAATTATTTAAAATAATAAAAAGTACTATTAACTAATGGTCAAATTCTGTACTTAATAAATGTAAAAACTTTTTTACATTATTATTATTTTGTTTCTTGAAAATAAAATCGACTAAAGATTTATTTGTTTAAAAATGATACTGACTATCTAACAAATTATAAAACAAACAAGTATTGAAAGAATTTTAATAAAAATTTTAAAAAAATACTCTAAGTACTAATGTTAAATTATTAAAAAGCATCAAAACATTACTAAACTCTTTACTTAATTTTAAAAAAATTATTTGTTTTAACTAATAGCCAAATTTTTTTAAAACTTTGTTTTCAGATTCTGAAAAGTAAAAGCACATTAAATAAAGGTAAGCTTTATTTTAATTTTTTTATAATTAAAAACGACTGAACATTTATTGGTTTAAAAATAATCAAATTACCTACCTTAAATAAATTTTAAAAAAATAACTTTTTATAACAAAGTTAAATAGAAAATACCCCTATTAAATTGTATCGCTTAAAATGAAAAACAATAATTGAAAAAAGTCAATGAAGAATCTTTTTTTATTTATATTTTCTTTTCATTGATCAATTTAGTTCAGAACGAAAATTTAAGATAAACGCGATTGTGCAGCAATCGCAAAGTAACAGTAGGTCTATAAAAAATAATTGACAAGAATCGTTAAATCTAGAAAGAAAAAACAAATTATAAACTAATGCAGAACGAAACGATCGCTAAGTAGCAAAAGTCTCACTGAAAATAATTTACAAGAAACCAGACAATTATTCCTGACAAACTAAAATGCACAACGATTGCAAAATTACTTAAGTCCCATTGAAAATAATCTTCAAAAAACGCAAAATCCCAAAGACAAAAATGGACATAAAGAAACTATGCATTGCTCTACATTACAATGCTGATCCTCGCACGAAACCGGGAGGTCTGATTCAATTCGCTCCTTGTCATTCAACACCACGAAACTAACATCATCTTTATAGCTAGACGCTAACTACATCTCTGCAGCCAGACGAAATCAAAATCGGCTTCGTCAGTGCGGTAACAGCGTTAGTGTAGTCAAGGATCCTTGCATAGTAAATTGTTAAACCGCGATTGTAAATCCAGACAGAAATGTTCATACCAGGGGCTTAAATCAGATTTCTGGTGCATCGCCTAAAATGAAAGCTACTATATCGGCCTACCAATATATGCATTAAATCGATATTTCGCGAGACATCGATTTATCGCCCAGTCCTAACTATGCTCCAATTAAACAAAAAGTTTTGTACAAATATAAATATACATATTAGAAAATAGGTACCTAAATAAAAGTCTAATTACAATAAAATATTAATGTTAATAGAAGGAAAAAACAATTAAAAAGAATAAAACTGCCGCTCAGAGAGAAAAAATAACAAATACTTAATTAAATCTAATGAAAATTTAAATTTTTGGCTTTTTGGACATAAATAAATGATTGTATAAGAGTTTGCTTTCTTTTATTAACAATTTAGTTTATTTTTTGTTCATTTGATTCATGCTCTTTTTCCTTTTGTCGTAATTGCAGACTACCTTCAATCATGCCTTGTGCAAGTCTAATTCCTTGCATATCTTTAGTCTAAGGGCTTCTTTAAGTCTCTCATTCACTTCTTCTAACAACTTGTCAGCTGTTTCTTTCAGTGGGGTGAAATAACAAGGAAGGGATTAGTGTGATAACGTCACTGAGCACTACGTACGTGTTAGCAAGGGAACTGAAAAGTAAAGTTCATTTTTGCGGAAAAACTTTGCTAAGAGTAAAAAAGTCTCCCAATAGTCGCCCATTCCTGAAAATAGTTGCTTTTTTAGCCTTTTCAGGCAAAAAACGTCGCCATAATGGCCGAAAATAGTAGCAAATAGTCGCATTTTAGTAGTCTGTGGCAACCCTGTATATGCATACAAATTTTTTCACTCACTATTTTTCCCTGCATATGATTGTACTCAGATTAAGCAAAAATTTACAAGATAAAACAATATACATCAAGTTAATAAATCTAATATTTAAGTAAAGAATCTAATATTTACCAGCTTTAAATGTTCGAGCTAAAAAGGGCTCACTTTCTACTCCACTTCCTGCATCATTATATGCCATTACAGCAACATAGTATTCTGTATCAGGTTGCAAGCCAACAATTAGCCCCCAATTCAGAAGTCCTCTTTTCAATAATATAAGAGAATCAATTTCTGGGTTTTTTCCAATTTGCCAATACTTAATCTAAAAAATTACAAATACTAAGTATTACATTTCGAATAGAATAAAGACTCATTTATTTACTAAAACAAACTTAGAAAACAAGTAAAAGAATATTTAAAAAAGATCTTGTATGAGAATAATAATAATTAAACTAGCTTTCAAAGAATTTCTTAAAAAAAGTAATAACATGCTTCAAACAGTTTATATTATTTTATTCAAATATTTTTGTTTAAAGTTCTAATTTGATTAATTTAAAGGTTTTCCTTTATGCAATGCATTTTTTAGTTTCAAATATTAAAATTACTTTTACTAACTAGCGTTCTTCGAAAATAATTTTCCTTTTCTGTATGAAATTTGCTCTATGTTATTTTAAAGATTAAAAATAGCATAAAATATGAAAAGTCAAAAATAATTTAAAATAATAATTACAACAAAAAATAAGAAAACTTTCATAATAGTGTAAAATTCACAATGTAAACATGCATTAAATTATAAAGAAAAGTGCACTGCTTTTTTTACCATACACTGAATAACGACAAAATGTCTTAAAACATAAAGCACAGACAATACAAGCAAGTGCGCAGGTGCAGTGTTAAATCTGCATTTAAAAATTAATATGGGTTTTATTTTGCAGGAAATTTTTAAAAACATTTTTTTTCTTATTTTATTTTATGATGTTTACATACTACTCTAATAACCAATTCAAAATAAGCTTTTCTTTTTGAAGTTATTGAAAGCACTTTATCATAATGATGACTATTAATTTTAACATTATATTTTATAAAATATTTTATAATAGTTATAAAATATTATATAATAATAATAATACCTAACTATATTTTATAAAATATTTTCCCATGAATAAAATTTAACTTACTCTATGACCAATAAGTTTTCCACGGATTTTCTCACGATTCAATTCCAAAGGTGACCATGTGACATTCAGAGCAGTTGAATTGTAAGCTAGTGCATAAACACCTGAAGGTTGAACTTGTGGCACTAAGAAAATAATATGTTACAAAAAATTAAGTGATGCAAACTAGATTTTGTAAAACTAATATATAAAAGACAACTGCATAGTAAAAAAATTATTGTTAATTATCAGCTTAAATATATCACAAATAAAACAACTACAAAATCTAAAGAGTCTTGAAAAGTAAATTTTAAAAAAATTTACTTTCTACAATTTTTACAGTTTGATTAAGCTTAACAAGAGTTTTCTAAATTAATGCAGTAATTGAACTCTTACAGAAAAAAGGTGAGGAAACAAATCATGGAAAAAAAAATTTGAATTAATGTGAAAATTGTACAATAATGCAAATAAAAGATAAATCATAGTTTTGAAGTAAATTTTTCATAAACTTACTGTTTTCAGCAGAATAGACCTGTACTTCTTCGCTATATGGCCCTGGTCCTAAACTATTAATGGCTTGAACTTTGACTAAATAAGGCTTGTAATAATTTTCTTCACCAACATTAACAACATGTAATCCAATATTGTGTCGATTTTTGAGAGATATTTCTTGAAATTTTGTATCTGAATTGGCAGGTTTGTAAGAAATGTTATACCAAATTTCATTATCATTCCAATCTTGAGGAGGCAAGGGCTAGAAATAAAATTATATAATAATTCATATTATTAATCAGCAATTATATTATTAACCCCTTAACTGCCGAGTAAAATTAACGTGATTCACTCCCCAGTGCCACCGTTTTTCGCTCAAGTGCACTTTCTTACACGGTGTTTTGAGTGGGAAAAATGATGCACGCTTTGCAATTTAAAAACAGTTTAAATTTACAAGAAAAAGGAAAGAAAAAAATACAAAATTTAAATTAAATAATAAAAATAAAAGATGTTAAAACTTAGCTGTTGTATGATAAATCCTGAAACATGGTTGGACACATAAGCCAACATCACATTCATCGCACTGATAGCGGGATTCACGACGAATATTTTTTCATGAACAAACAGCACATTTTCGCGATGCATTTTTCTCTGAAGATGTTGATGGAAAGAATAAAAAGCACCAAATACATACGGGAAACAAAAGCGAAAAAAGAATATACCCGACCTTACTCAAATAAATACACACAGGCGATATCACTTTTCCATAACAACCTTTTCCCATTCCCCCTCCTCCGAAATTAGTAATACATTCGCAAAGCAAACACTTTCAAGGCCATTTTACTGCATTGTGAAGTAGGGGGTGTAGTTCTATTTATAGCAGCGCAATGCAAAGCACCGTACTTCGGGAAAGGGTATATATACGCCTGCGGCAGTTAACGCATCGTCTGGCCGAGACGTATATATACGCCCGCGGCAGTTAAGGGGTTAATCATAAAAAAGAATTATTAATCAGCAAAAATAATAATTATTTTAATAATATGTAAAATTTTATAAACCAAATTTTATTATTTACAATCCTATTGCTTAACAATAATACTTTTAATAATTTTTCTATATATGAAAGGATATTAACATTTTTGATGAATATAAATAGCAACACTTTTAATTGTTTAACCACAATTTTCCAAATGAAGGTAACCATTTTGATAGATAAAGATGTTTTTTTCCACAGCATGCTTCCACAAAGTTAACAAATTAAGAAAATCTTTTGTACTATAGAAAAAAAGAATGTATTAAAGAATTAGATGAATTTATATAAAATTAACTAATACTTACATCCCAAGTAATTGTTAGACTTCCTGTTTTACCACCACCTCCTCCAACATTTGATGGAGCAACATGGGGAAGATCCTTAGCAGTGTTGTATAATGGACTCGGCTGACTAGGTTCACCTTTGCCAAAACCATTAATAGCAGAAACCCTAAATGTATATATACTCCAAGGAGACAAAACACTAAATAAGAATATTTCCCTTCTACCACTTTCTGGTCTATTCTTAAAGGTTTTCACATCTAGAAATGAAAATAAGTTTCATGATACTAATGAAAATGATTATAGCAATTTAAAAAATACATATTTAATATCTTAATAATAAAATTTTATCAAAATAATTTTATCAAATAATATTTCCCTTTTTTCGAAAAATTCTTCAATAATAATCATAATAATAATATATACAGCAAAATAAATACATACAAAAAAACACAAAGGAAATTAAGAAAAACAATAAGTTTCATTTATTGTGCATAAGCTGCAAGTAAACAGAACTTATTATATAAGTTCAAAATGAAGATAAAACAAAGGAAAATTACAGACATATGAAAAAAAGGGGGGGAGAAAAATAATAATAAAGAAAATAACAAACAACTGGGGGGGAAAAAAGGATAAAAAATTTTATTAAAAACCGGAAAATAAAAGATACAATCTTTTCATCAGCCCACACGATTATATCCGCAAAAAAGAGTGCTTTCTGATATTGTATCAATATAGCCATAGCAAAATATATCAGTACAATAGTGTGAGGAGCACTCAAAAAATTTTTGTACAAAAATTACAACAAATAAAATAGAACACAATAAGTAAAAATAACACGTAAAAACAGAAAATAAAATAAAAGAAAAAGAAAAACAGAATAAAACATAATCTATTAAGCGAGTAGCGAATTCAAATGTACTTACATCAACGGGAAATTTTTCAAGAATGATTTTAAAAATATTTTCGTAACGAGATTGCCAGATTGCAAAATATGAAACCAAAAGTGCAAATTGAGCGTAACTAGAGGAGTTTAGTTTTAATTATTATTTTATATTCTTTATTACATCATTTTTCTTTCCCCCCTTATTTTTCCTATGTCTGTAATTTTCCTTTGTTTTATCTTCATTTTGAACTTATATATATATATGGGCAATTCTATGAAAGTGTCAACTTTTAAGTGAGAACTTTTTTCATGAATTGCATATTTTGATTTTAAAAATATGTTCAAAAATAACCAAAGTCTACTTATTCATGTTTCATTTTTGATAATTTTAAGTTTTTTGAATCCAGCAGCATTCTAAAGTAATCACATGGCTGACAAGTGAATTGTTCACATTTGAGCTGAAATTGTTTTCTTGAAAAACACTTATAAAAGGAAATAAATGTATCTTTCTTTTGCAATATTTTGATAAAATTATGCATATAGTACAAATTTTAAACATTTAAAGCATAGTTTTTAATTAATTTTAAGTTTTATATATAAAATAAAAGTATCTTTTTTTGTGTCATTCTATCACATGTTTTATTATTTTTTAAAATAGCAGCTACATTTCAAAATGAAAATGTGTATATTTTGGAATATAAAGCAGTATGGCATAAGAATCAATCATAGATTATAAAATTTTATGCATTTGATTATTAACGTCCAATAATTAGTGTGACGGAATGACACATCCTAGGCGATGGAATGCCAAAGAGTCCTTGAAAAGCTTATTCAAAAATTAACATAATGGATAAAACAGCTGTTGAAAGACAGATAGAATGTTGAAAAGGAACAAGATTCCCATGATGAAATGAAATAAAGCCAGAGAAGGAAGCTTCCATGACAAAAGCTGAACTTAAACGCTTAGCTGTGCAAACGCTGTTGCGCAGAGATTGTGAAAACAAAGAAAAAATCAAATTCTACTAACCTCTTGACATATAAATAATTTAAATTCTCCATACAAATTCCGGCAAAGTCTTGGTAAAGTTGTAAAAAAAAGTTGTACACTCACTTCCAAAATCACCAATAAAGGTAAAAAATGTAATTCAGTCTTATTGTGAAAGTATTTAACATCCAACACAAAAGAAAACAATTTAAGTAAGAAAAGTAATGTCGATGAGCTATTTATTTTGGTTAAAAAATTTTACTGTCAAGATGATGTTAGTTACAAGCCCCCAGATATGATGGGTTCAGTCATAATACAAACTCTGACAGAGTAATGAAGAATGCAGATGCAATATATGTTTATGGCACTATAAGAGGCTTTTCATTTGTTTAAAGAAGCATATAATGATGTAAAGTGAGTCTCATTCTCATTTTTGTTAAGTGTATTTCATTAAAACCTTACAACACATGCATCTATAAATACCACTTAAATGCAAGGTTGTTTTAAAAGAATGCAGATGCAATATATGTTTATGGCACTAAAAGAGGCTTTTCATTCGTTTAAAGAAGCATATAATGATGTAAAGTGTGTCTCATTCTCATTTTTGTTTAGTGTATTTCATTAAAACCTCACAACACATGCATCTATAAATACCACATAAATGCGAGGTTGTTTTCAAAAGCCAAACAAGACGTTAGATGCTTTATAACGGCACCTAATATGTAGAAGAATTTTATGATTTCATAAAGTCGAAGCAACAAATCCTTGAAGTTTCAATTTCGTCCAGCTATTCTATTTAAGAGAGGGCAAAAGAGAATGACTTCAGCTGGTCACTTGTGACAGCAGCATTGCCAGGGACAAGAGACGTGTACTAGACATTCATGTAGTTGAGAAGTGAATCATCAAAACTGGAATGTTTTCTAATTTTATCAAAAACAAAGTGTATGATTTGAAAGAAGGCCACTGTAAGCAGTCGTCTCTTAATCACTGTCCCATACTGCAGAAAAAAGAAGGAACATTTATATGTGGCGAAAAATACTTTGATAGACAAAGGCGATTTAGATGTTAAAGTACTAAAAAGAAGATTGGACAAAAATTGATTTATGCATAAATTTTTTGAGAAAGAACATAAGATGTGCGTCATTGGCAAGTCAGATATGAAACCTCTTCAAAGACAACCTAAGTTTTTAAAATTGTAGAAATTTTTACTAATTCTGCTTATTTGTTACATACATATTGATCTTGTTTATCTGTTTCATTCTGTTTATCATTTACACATTAATAAAACATTTTTTAAATGAAGACTTTCATCCACTAAACTTTTTGTCATTCCGTCACAGCAAATATATGTTAATAACTGCTAGCCAGCCTGAGGTTAATTTTCCAAATTCACATTTTACATTGCTTACACATTATACTAAAGGTAAAATATAGTTCCGAAAAATAATAGCCGCAAAATTCTCAGAAACTACCAGTTTCAAGCAGCATGCCAAAAGCTAGGTTGCCAAAATGTCATTCCGTCACACAAATAAAAAGTTCATAAAATTAAAAATGAAAAAATATTTTTTTTTTAGTTTATGAATCGCATTATGCCAATAATAATGATATGCATGAGAAAAACAATGTTTAATTGAAATTAGATGTATAGAAACTTCAATTAAATGTTATTTTTCAAGTCAAAATGTCATTCTGTCACATATAGAAGTGCCCATATATACATATATATATATAGAGAGAGAGAGTCGGGTAGCCCCGCCCACTTAAGGAGTATTGCTCATATTTCTGTATAATATTGAGTAATAATCAATACTTTTCTATGTTTCTATTGTATTATCATCTAATTAAATAATGCAAAAAGAAAAAACCAAAAAAAGAATAGTTTAACTTAAAAAAATAGAAATTTAAAAAAACATGTTTTTCAGCTCTTTTCAAAATGTGTCGGGTAGCCCCGCCCAGTTACAGAAATTATGTTTTTGACTTTTTTCAGGTGTAAATGAAAATGACCAATGTATTGACAATAGATAAACCTCATTTATCATTTTTATCACAAAATTTAACCGATTTTTCTTAATTTCATGACTACTGTATTCAACATATTTTCAAAATTATTGTTTACCATGTTACCAGCTGCATAAATACTTGAAACTTTGAAAATAATCTTTTATTAATATAACAATTAATGTCTGATGGCCCATTGACTTGAAAAAATATTCTATACATATGAAATTGACAGTGGGCGGGGTTACCCGACACTCCCCTATATATATATATATATATATATACTTCATAAAGAAAATAAAGTTAAAATATTAACAAAAGTGAATATATATGAAACTAGAGAGAAAAAACAGACAGGTTTTATTTTAGTATAAGCTACAAAAGTTTTCATTAAAATATCTACTCAATTCTGTTTCTTGTTTAACATTTCTTAAATAAATAAGATTCATTTACTAATCCAATTAGAAAATTATTTTTTAATGTTCTATTTAACTGAATAATTGGATTGCTATTTCTTCACAAATGAAAAATTACGACAAACTTTTTAATGTTATAATAAAAATTACTACTAACTCTCTGCTTACATATTAAATTTTTTAAGATTCACGTTATTTATTTCATCATACTAAAAACATTTGAGTTATTAAATATATTTAATTAATAACAAAATGTTATTGGACAAAAATTGACAATAATTATTATCTATTTATTATTATTTATTTATTATTTTTTAATGAATAATGCATGTTTTAGTTTAAGCTTAAAGTCTGAATATCCAGAAAAATCTATTTTCCAGACTTACTAAAGCAGAGGTGATTGTGAGCAGTTTTCAAAAATCCCGAAAATTTCTCCAATAAAATCATTAATTACGTAATTCAAACAATTAACGTCTTTATAAATTTAAATCATTGATATTTTCAAAACATGAAATACTAAATGAATTATATGCAGCATAATTGAAATGAATAACTATGCATAAACTTACTTTTATCTCTAATCACATTTATTATTCCATTAGAAAAAATATTTACAAATGAAAGAGATGCCAAGTATAAATTTGAGTTCCAATATTTCTAAATAAAACATAATTTTTTTTATGCATAAATGTGATGAATAATTTCTTGAAACTCTTGGACCTTGGATTTTTGGAAACGTCTGGATCGCGCTTACCGAAAAATCCGGAAATCCCGATTTTTTCCGGAGCACAATCATCTCTGCCAAAGTCCTGAATATTCCAAAATACAGGACTTTCCACTGTACCTAATAAAAACTATAAAAGGTGTGAAATAAATCATTACAGTAGGGAACTAAAATAACTTGGCATAATACTTACAGTGACTGTGATAACCGTACTGTTTTAAACATATTAAAACTTTATTATTAGTTCTATTTATGACCTTCTTTAATTGATCACTATCATGAGATCATTACTTTAAATATCTGATTACAAAAAGAAAATCAGAAATCATGACTTATAATGAAAAACATTTTAATTAAAAGAATGCTCCAGTTTTTTTTATTTTTTATATATATATAATTCTCTTTTGGCCTAGCACGTTTTTCTTCTAAAACAAAAACAAAACATATACATACTTTCTTTTAAAATTATCCAAGTGGAATTATGATTTGTTTTGCCTTCAATAGTATAAGCTGTAATTGGATCACCATTAGCAGACCCATCGCTCCAATGGATTTTACCAGAAGTTGCTGTTAAATCCTCAGCTAATACAGCCCCAGGTGCTCCAGGAGGTCCTTTAAGAAAAAAAGAATACTCAAAATCCTTCTTAAAATATTTGCCTAGCTATATTAACTGAAATAACAAACATATTCTATATTATTATTCTTGAATTTTTTAAAGGGACTAAAAAAATATTTTTATGACAGAAAAGTACATTAGTTAAGTGCCCTTTGAAATACTTTTTTTTTCAATATACAGCAATTAAAAACTATAATACACTTACCAAAAACCACCAGCTCAGTTGACTTTGAAATTCTACCAACTGCAGTTTTAACAATGCAATGATATATTCCAGCTTCAGCAAGAGTGATGTTTTCAATTCTCAAATAGCCAGGTAATCTACCCTGAAAAAAATTAATAATAATATTTTGAGTATAAGGTTAATACTAATACTAAAACGAGATTAGGTAAGTACAGATTTAAATTTAAGTTACCACAGAAAATATTGATTCTTTTTCCATATCTATCCGTAATCCATTCTGAAGCCATATGTAAGCCAGGTCAAGCATATCACTTCCAACATACGCTTGACAAGCAAGCTCAGCTGAATCATTGACAACTGCTTTAACTTTTGGATGAGGGGCATCAACCATTCGAGGTAAACCTAAAAAATATAATAGAAGTATATTAACATATGCTATTGCTGTAGCTCAGCAAATGTAATTTTTCAAACTGATGACAAGTTTTGCTGCTTAAAAGAAAACAAATAGTACAGACTACATAATTAGAAATGCAACTCACTCAGAACAATCAATAATCCCTCTGTATAATCTGATCCATATTGATTCTTTGCAATACAAGAGTAACGGCCTTCATCATCTCTTCTGACTGGATTAATGTGCAAATAGCCATTTGGTAAAATTTTTATTCGTCCCACAGAACTAAGGCCATAGTTATCACGCTTCCAAGTAAATTCTGGGAAAGGGGCTGCTTCTGGACGACAAGGAATTGTAATATTTCCACCTTCTGCAGCAAACATTTCATTGTCCATAGGATATTTTGCAAAAGAAGGTTTTAGAGCTAAAAAAAAAAAAAAGAAATCATTTCTATGAATTTGCTTTCAGTATCTTATTTTTTGATTTCTAAAGATGTAACTTTGAAATAAAACTAAATATTTGCAAATACATTGAAACCTCACTTACAGACACTTTTTCAAGACAGACACCTCAATAATTAACAATTTTCAAAATTCCTAATAGTCTCTAATGAATAAACCCTTTACATTAGACTAAAAATCAGAAACTTAGTGACCACACAAAAATTTTCCTACAAAACAAGAGAAATCGGCATCTTTGCTTCAAAGCAGACTTAATAAATTTCTTAAATTACTAATTTTTATTTTTTGAAAAAAGGAATTTTATAACGGACTGAACTATGTAAGTTTGTTATGAACAAAATAATGAAATAAGAACAGAAAAATAATGGCTTTCTTATTGGCTTTTGACTTATGATTTAGATTTAGTGTGTTGCAACTTTCTTATTCAATTTTTTATTCTATTTGATACATAATACTCACTTATGATTCTGAGCTGCCCAGAAGAATATGATGAACCTAACTGGTTTGATGCTTTACATTGGTACATGCCCTGATCTCTCTCTAATACTTCATCAATTGATAGAATATTTTCATATATATTATATCTATTTCTATCATTTGGATTGAGATTTTCTATGATCAATTCTTTTCCATTTTTTAACCAGGTGTATGTAACATCAGGTTTACCAAATGCTTCGCATGTCCAAACTAAATTAGAGTTCTTGTCTACAACTTTATTCTCTAATGGAATTGTAAATTCAGGTTTTGCTGAAATAAAAAGAAAAGAATAAGTTAATGTTTCTAAATACATTATAATAGGAAAACTAGATAACGTAATTGTGATCTTTTAGGGCACATAAAAATTGGATTAACCTTAAACTTTTTTATATGGTGCCCCATTTTGTTCCATGCAGTAATTTGAGTATATCTCAGTAAAATTCTTTTTAAATTGCTATGTTATGCAGTTAAAATTATAAATAATAACTATACAGTTATACACATTATAAACTATGCATCTCATAAAAATAAAAAAAAATAATCATGCAGCTGACTTAGAATATATTACCACCATTCAGAGGGCTATATTTCGAACATTTTATTGAATTGTCAGTTTATGATTAAAATCACATATTTAAGTATAGGACATGAAAAATTAAACTAAAAGAATTTTACCCTCACAATAAAAAGAAAGTACTTATAATATATTGAAAAAAATCTTTGAAATGCTTTTCGCACTATACATCTTAATATAATTTACACAAAATGCACATTTTAATGAACACTTTTTCAAGCAAACTATTGCAAATATATTTTAAACAAAAGATTTAAATATCACATAAGAATGCTATAACTTTTACATTTCTACACATCATGGTTCATATTCATTGGGTTTAAAAATAACAAATTTCAGAGCTATGTAACAAAACACAATAGAGTGATTAAAACTCATAATGCTTCGCAAATGCTTAACAATTGCTTTTTATTGTATACATATAATACAGAAGCATGATTTTTATGTTATACATATTTAATATTTCTGTAATGATATAAAATCAACGAATTGACTCTCACAAATGTGCAATAAAAAATTAATGTTAGTTCAGGATAGTAAGTGAGTCAAAATTTTAATAGCGGTAACACCCAAAATTTGATATCATAATTTTTAAATTTTTTGTTGTTTTTTAAAAAGTATATATTATACAAAACAATAGCCCAAAACGAATTTTTTTTATTTAATTTATTTTACAAGATATTAACAATTAATTTTTAAAGCTCTTTTTAATTAAAAAATAAATATCTAAGGATAGAATGAATGGATTTTTAAAAAATGTATCTCATTTTAAGCGAAAATAATTGAAGTTTTTGATAAAATAATTATAATAAAACAAATGCTTAAAAAATTTAATTTTTATTGCAAAATTTAGTTGTAAAATGAAAAACAAAAATTTTGTTAATGTTGTACAAAGTTCAAACAAAACCCATTTTAAAGTAAATTTTATTCTGAACAAAATGGCTTTTCAAGAAAAAATGGATCGCAATTCAAAAAAAAGTTATAGCTTTTTTCGCGAAACGCTGCACCGCCGCGCGCTCTGCCACTCCACTCCACTGATCGCTCAATTGCGCTGTATCGGTTAATTTGGAGGGGATTTACAAACCTCAACTAAAGTTTCACAAAATAACAAACATTATATTAAGTAATAAATATATGATTTATAATTTAGGGTGAATAATATTATGAATTTTAGTTATTTATAATTTATTTACATAATTTTTTGAGTTCAAACTAGGAACTAGAAGAATATATTTTACATTTGAGAGTTTCAAAATTTTCAACTAAATAAGTATGGTATTCTCTAGTTCCATTAATTGTTGAAGCTTTTTTAAACCTTGTTTCCAATTTTTTTTTGATTCTCATGTTCAGTTTTTGTGCAGAAGTCAAACTGAATATTATCGAAACATTTACATGCCCAATCGAACAGTTCTTTAGGTGTTGTTATATTTTGTGTTTGCAAACTACTCTTTCTTGCTTCCCTCTTCACCATCCCACCAATACCATCACTTGCCCCTTTGCCATGAGAAGTGACAAAAAATTGTCATTCTGCATCGATATTAAAATCATTTCTATGATTGAGTAAGTTCATGAAACTATTCTTGTTTTTATACTGTGACGAAACTCCATCCGAGAACTGTCAGACGACAAGAATCACATATGGATTGATTTATTAAATTTGAAAATACCGAAACTCCAATTTTTTGTCACAAGCTTAACAGTTTTGTAGACACTACGATGCTTTAATTTGTTCAGCGGGTTGCAGCAATAGTTCATCATTTCTTGATTTTATCTGTAAGTTTATTATTAAATTTCGAGATAAATATGCAAATCAAATTCTTAGAATTAATTTCTTAGAAATGTAATTTTATGTTTAGAAAAACAATAATAATTATTAAAGTTGATATTACTAAGTTAAATAACAATTGAAACTTACCTTATTTGATCATTATTATCACGTAGATCAGCACTCCGAATTACCTTAACAAACGCTCGTTACAATTCGAGTATAAATGTGAAAAAACGCACAGCGCATGAGGTAATCAACGCTGACCACAGAGCGCGCTGTGGTGCAGCATTTCGCAAGAAAAGCTATAACTTTTTATGGAATTGCGATCCATTTTTTCTTTAAAAGTCATTTTGTTCAGAATAAAATTTACTTTAAAATGGGCTTTGTTTGAACTTTGTACGACATTAACATCATTTTTGTTTTTTATTTTACAACTTAATTTTGTAATAAAAATTAAATTTATTAAACATTTGTTTTATTATAATTATTTTATTATAATTATTTTATCAAAAACTTCAATTATTTCCGCTTAAAATGAGATACATTTTTTTAAAATCCATTCATTCTATCCTTAGATATTTATTTTTTAATTAAAAAGAGCTTTAAAATTTAATTGTTAATATCTTGTAAAATAAATTAAATTAAAAAAAATCGTTTCGGGCTATTGTTTTGTATAATATTTACTTCTTAAAAAACAACAAAAAATGCAAAAATTATGATATCAAATTTTGGGTGTTACTGCTATTAAAATTTTGACTCAAGTCCTAAAATAATAGAATAAAAAGTATTTTCATTTCAATGATTCATACCTTTAAACTAATTTCATGTATTTTCAATGCATGAATTTGTTAATTTAAACCTTTTATTTACAATTGATACAACAGGTATACCAAAACAAAAAAGGTTTTCATGCTAAGTACCATATGTGTTTCATACTTAACTCGAGATCAATTGTCATAGGTTAAAAAAGAATAGTCTCAACATTTTATAAAAATATACTTTGATGTATAATAGAATAGACGATAAATAATGGATATGAACGAAATAAATAATATGAAGATGAAAAGCCTCTACTTCCCTTCTTTTTATTTAATTCTTATTGAACAAAAGAAACTAAAACCATGAAATTTTTTCAACTGATAAAAAAATTTCTTGCTTTCAGGGTTTTTAAAATAGTAAGTAATTTACACTTTTGAATATTTCTTAGAATAAGAAAGGGGTCGAGCAAAAAATGAGAAGAATAGAGAAGGTCAATGGAGACAACAAAAAATTTCATGTAAACAATGTGACTGGTAAAAGTAATACAACTCATTAAATGAAACTTTCTAAGTCTTCCTTGTTCCGCCTAAAAAAAGTTATAACTATTTTTACTGCAAATTTTGGGTCATTTTGGAGAGTTTTATGATATGTTTTAAAGGAAACGAAAAACAAACTGAACTTTCATTTTCAAAAAAAGATTTCCTAAAACTGGAAGAGGGATACAACTGTTCCGCTCTTTCTAAGCATCTTTTTAGAAAGAGATGGAAAGACATCAAAACACTGAAAAAGAAAGATGACTGTGAGGGAGAATTAATAAGTTAAAAATATCAGGGAAGAAAAAGGGCAAATGTAAACAGCATGAAAAAAAATGTGGGGAATTCTTAATCTAGACCATGAAATTACCTGTAGCGTAGGTATTTTTGAGTCGTACCCTCATTCTATTTATTATGCATCAATTAATCACTTTTATTCCAAATTTTGACAACTACTATCTGAACTTGAAAGCAATCTTTCTTAGAAAAATTTATTTATAAAAAAATGGATTTTTTATGGATATTTGTCAAAAATTATGAAGTTATCAGGCAAAATTCTGGTGAAAAATTATAAATTCAGATTTAGCAGCCCAAAAAACATTAGATGAGCCAAAGTACTCTTATTTTTTCTATATAAGGTCTCAATATGGTCTATACTGCCTAAACAATAAAGCTGAACTCTAAGCAAACATGAAATAAAATTAAATAAATGTTTTTTCTCACAAACTTGCAGTACAGTCCGCAAAAAAAAAAAGATATCACCCTGAATAACTTTCGTTCTAATGATCGGATTTTTACGAACTAAGTGTCAATCTTAATGGTTCCGGGGAGGTGACCTCAAATATGCTAATTAATTAGTGCTACTTATTAACCCATTGACTAATTCAAAAGAAGAAGACTTAATTTCACTAGGTTGCTAAGCAACCAATTTCTGACTGTAAAAAAAAATTAAATAATGCTCTGTGATTGCTCGGAGAGGTTTAATAGAAATATCTCAAAGTTAATAGAAAATATCGCAAAGTTTCTAGGATATGGACAATTTTTAAGCTAATTTCTGTCCAAAAAGCAAAATTTTTTTTATTTTAATCTCCTTTGAAAAGAAAATTTGAATCGATTTATAAATTATTTATGATTTTCTAAGTTTTTAGAATTTAAATACATGAACTTTTTATCTGATATTATATAGATGTTGCTTTTGTTATAAAAATTCGAGGATTTCATACTAAAATCAAATTAACATAACCTATTATGGCTATGTACAAAATTTTAGGGATAATCATTTTTACAGCTTTAATCGAGTGATCTAGGCAGGAAAGTTAGAAGAAAAAAAAGTGCCTGAAAAATAAAATGTATATTGTATAGTAATTCTAATGCGCATTCACAAGGTTTTCTATAATTCACAATATTTCTTTTTTCTATAACTCAAGGAACTGCTGAATGTTTAGTGGTATTTTAAAAACGCTGAAATATGTTAAGTTTAAGAATAAGATATTGAAATAATATGTTGCATATTGTAAGATTCATTGTTTAAAAAATCGCTTCATTTTGCTAGATATTTAGGTTACAAGGCTTTCGTTGGATAAAGATGATTAGCAAATACCATCCTCATCTTTCGATACATTCTGAAACTTACATTCGCAAATTCACCATAAAATGTCGCACAGCATATTCTTCAAATACGATTACAGCTACATTTACCACCAAATACTGCTACAATGCCGGATGTTTATAGGCAATGTATGAAATATGAGAGGTATTACATACTTTCCCTAGGCATTCTATAGAATGACAAATGTTATTTAGGCAAAATATGAAAAAAAAATACTGATGAGGTGATTATGTTATATTAATGATGTGCATGTTACTGTGAATGATCGAAATCGGTGGTTGTCGACTTTCACCGGTGAATGTTGACAATCATATAGTCGCTTTGGTGAATGTCCGAAATATTTATTACATCCGATTTGATGTTAATTTATTCGTGGATATAATTACATTTATTCAATATTTTAATACTTACTGACCATAGATTAGAAGAAACATCAGTGTTTGGAGTATCAGGCTAATATATATCGGGCAATGGCACTCAACCTTAAAAAATTATCGGTGTACGATATACTGGGCAAATTTATACCGGGCAGTGGAACTTGACCTTAAAAAAGCATCAGTGTCTGGTATACCAGACAAATGTATACCGAGCAGTGGCAATTGACTAGAACTAGTATGACTAGACCTTTGGTAAATGTCCGAAATATATACTAGGTCTAGTTAAGTGCCACAGCCCGGTATACATTTGCCCGGTGTATCCTACACTGATGTTTTTTTAAGGTCAAGTGCCACTCCCTGGTATACATTTGCCCGGTATATCCTACACTGATGTTTTTTTAAGGTCAAGTGCCACTCCCTGGTATGCATTTGCCCGGTATACCCTACAATGATGCTTCTTCTAATCTATCGTCAGTAAGCATTAAAATATTGAATAAATGTAATTATATCAGCGAATAAATTAATATCAAATGTAAAAAATATTTCAGACAATCACCAAAGCGACTATGTGATTGTTGACATTCACCGGTGAAAGTCGACATTCTCTAGATTTCGGTCATTCACAGACAGGTGATCACAGACAGGTAACATTCGGTCATTCACAGACAGATGATTAAAAAATTACTTTTAAGATTAAGACGATATATAAGATGTTGAGAAATTTGCAATGATGTGAGAGATGCTTAAAATGTTGACTACGTATTTTATAAAAAATATGTTCAAGAAATTGATAAATATTTTATTCCAAATCTATTCATACGTATGTATATTACAGAAATTGTATCAGTTATTGAGAAAAAAAATAAAAAATAAAAAATAATCACATTAAATAAGCAAAATCTGGTGTATAATCATATTCAATCACAAGCATGCTTTTATAAAACTCGACACTCGTTGATTAAAATGTTTTATTCAAATTTCTTTACTAAATTGCAAATAGAATTTTAGACGACTAAAAAAGAAATATCGTATTTTATAGTTTTAAAAAAATAAAAATAAAAAAATTAGCAAACGATTATTAGCGAAAAAAATATGAATGAAATTTTACGCCAAGCGCGCGAAGTCAAGTTCCTCGCAAGTTTATCACATTTTAATATTAATCGCCCCATTTAATCATTTCTTCATTGTCGCCAAATTATTTTTTTAAAAATAATTAATTTTAATTTTTCTCAGCTTCTAATAAATAAAAACAGTTGAAACTTTAGATTTTTCAATTGAAAAATATGTAGATTAATATGGTATAAAAAAATTCATACCTTATAATTCAAAAATTTTTCATCCTTAATTTAATTAAATAATAAAAAATAATTAACAATTATTAAAAATTATTTTTTTCGTGAAATTATCTTTGGGTAAATGAGTTTTATGACTGGGTGAAATTTTCTTCGAATTGCTTTATTAGTTTTTAAAATATGACTAAAAACGTAAAAAGTGAAATTAACATTAAGGGGTACGAACTTTGGATCGCTCTCCTGACCAAACTATGGGGACCATATTTCCCAGATTGCGGCTACCCCCTATATTTTGAAGGTTAAGAATCCAAATATGTAAGAAAAAATATATGTTTATTCAGAGAAAGTACGTTTTTGTGTCTGATTTCGTAACTTAATTAATAGTTAGCACTAATTAATTAGCATATTTGAGGTCACCCCCCGGAACCATTAAGATTGACACTTAGTTCCTGAAAATCCGATCATTAGAACGAAAGTTATTCAGGGTGATATCTTTTTTTTTGCGGACTGTACATTAATATATATTACACCCTTAATCTGTTACATATTATTTTGAAAATACTAAAACATCAGGTGAAAACTTAAGAAAAAATATCTTTCGAAACATTTCAAACATAAAATCCATTCTATACTAAGAAAAAAAGATCATGTTACCAAAAATTTAAAATTTTTAGGTTTCTCCAGATCACAATCATGTCTGTCATATTTGTGCTTCATAACTTACCTTGAATCCGTAATGGAACTGATTTGGTAACTGAATCAATACCATTGCTAGCAAAGCAAAAATAATCACCAACATCTTCAACTCTAACCTTTGGTAACATCAGAACACGGTTATAATTTTCAGTATAAGCTCCTAGCGGTAGTTCATTGGTGAAGCCTTTACGTGTCCAATTATACTTTGGAACAGGACTGAAATTATTTTGGATTTTAAAAAAATTTTATATACATAAAACATAATATATCACGCACATTTCATTTCGAAATTTGATTTAAAAATCAACCTTACAAAATATAAAAATAAATCCGAATTATTTCTTTAACGAGGCATACTAACTGTTTTTTGAAAATAACACAATATAAACTAAACTACAGTTGAACCTTGAAATTACAAACTTAGATTTTTCAAATTTTTTGTTATCAAAAAATTCAAAATTCTCTGTGCATTTACTATGCTGATAAAAGAAAAGAACCTCTCTGAGCTGATTACTTTTCTTGGTGACCCTTGATTCACCCAATTTTACTATATTTTTGTTTACCCTAATTTTTCTTTCCTAATTTTTAAAGAATTTAAAATAATTCCTTGAACTTCAAAACTTAAAAACTTTTATTGCTTTATTTTATGAGCCATTTCCTAGAACCATTATAAGAAAGAGATTGTTTGACAGAAAAGAAGTTGCTTGAATCATCCATTCCAAAAGAATTAGATTAGTAAGATATGTGTGCACAGATAAAAATAAATGCCATTACAGTAAAAATAATAAAAAAAAATGAATCCAAATTAAATTCCTTATTTAATGAATCCAAATTAAATTGTTACTACCGTTGACATACTATTAATATGTGGTGATTGGGAAGAAGCACACAAATATTAAAAGAGGAAGATGATGAAACACAAAAATTTTAACAAATTAAATAAAGAAGCAAAAATATTTACTTTGTTTGAAATAACTGTCTTTTTTTTTCTTTTTTTTATATAAAAACACATTTAAAATTTTAGTACAGTAATTAATTTGACAAATATTTTAAAAATATTTGATTAACTAACTCAATTTTTAATACATCACAATATTTTTAGTGTCTACCTTTGAGTTTGTAAAAAGGAGGTTTGACTGTATTGCTTTTCCAGATTTAAAGAGACTACTTACATTTTTGCTCATATGAAAGAAGTTGTTCAATTGAGAATCGATTATATCATTTTTTTATCAAAGAAGTGTTTCTTTTATTATTATTTAATCCTTTATGTATAGAGGGCCCTAAGACGGCAATACAATTGTCAAGACTAAGTGAAAAATAATAAGCTAATAAAGAATTAAATGCAATAGTAATCCCTTAGAATTTATTTTTAATTTTTATTAAAGTGTGTCTTTTAATATGAAAAAAATTAAGAATAAAATTTTCCAATTGTAAAATATGGTTCAAGATATTCTTTTTGAATATGATTGAATTTTTCTCTCTTAATATCCCAAATAAGAATGACTTCAGAACATGTGAAGAATTTTAGAATGAATACAAACAACAAATAATATGCAAAGTTACACAGTAAATGTATTGTTGATACCATATATATAATAGATAACAGGTGGGCTGAAAAGTTCGTAGGCTAACATAGAAAAAAAAAATTTTGGATAAAATTTCATTTTATTATTCAATATGGCTTCCTTCAAGGGTGATACAACGATTATAGCGGTCATATAATTTTTCGATGCCATTTTTATAGTACGATTTGTCTTTAGCCTCAAAATAGGGCTTAGTTTCGGTGATTTCTTCTTCATCGGCGCTAAATTTCTTTCCAGCGAGCATTCTCTTGAGGTCTGAGAACAGGAAAAAGTCGCTGGGGACCAGATCTGGAGAATGCCGTGGATGCGCAAGCAATTCGAAGACCAATTTATATAATTTTGTCATCGTTTTCATTGACTTGTGACACGGTGCGTTGCCTTGATGAAACAGCACTTTTTTCTTCTTCAAATGGGGCCGTTTTTCTGCGATTTCGTAATTCAAACGCTCCAATAACGCTATGTAATAGTCGATGTTGATGGTTGTTCCTTTTTCAAGATAGTCAATGAATATTAAACCATGAGCATTCCAAAATACTGATGCCATAACTTTGCCTGCTGACTTTTGCATCTTTCCAAGCTTTGGAGTTGGTTCTTCTCATGCAGTTCACTCGGCTGAAGGTCGATTGGACTCCGGTGGGAAATTATGGAGCCATGTTTCACCCATTGTCATATATCCATGCATAAACTCAGATTTATTACGATTAAACAGCTTCAAACACAGCTCAAAATCATCAATTTGTTGTTGTTTTGGGTCAATTGTGAGCTCGTGCGGCACCCATTTTGCCTAGAGCTTTCTCATACTCAAATATTCATTCACAATATGTCTAACATTTTCCATTGATATCTTTAGAGTCTCAGATATTTTGATCAACTTCACTTTACGGTAATCTAAAATTATTTTGTAGACTTTTTTGATATTTTCATCGTTGACAGCCTCTTTGAGGCGTCCACGGTGCTCATCTTCGTCGGTGTTCATTTTGCCTCGTTTAAACTTAGCAAACCACTTCTCAATGGTTGATTTTACTGGTACAGAGTTCGAATAATGTTTCTCAAGTCAAGCCTTGGCTTCAAGAGTATTTTTTTTCGCTAGAAAGCAATGCTTTATGAACACGCGAAATTCCTTTTTATCCATTGTTTTTAAACTAACAAAAGTTGCTTCACTAAAAATACTATATCTCACAAACTGTTAGTCCGACAGCTGTCAAATTTATACATGTGTCTTTCGAAGGTTAGAACTAACTAAAAATCATATATTTTTAATAATAGTAGCCCCATCTATGAGTCAGCCTACGAACTTTTCAGCCCAACTGTTAAGTATGATAAGTTATAACCACTATTTAGATAACTATGGTAATGGTCACGAGCAATGGTTTTGCTAAGAATAAAGCAGTGTTACTGCGAGAAATTCAGCATGAGCATAAAATCTTATGTGAGACTGATAAAAGTAAAAGATGCTGAAAAAAGTTAAAAATATTTTTAAGGAGAAAATAATAAATAACTATTGAGATCAATCTAATACTTAAGACGCATTGGCATTTCATAATCAGCAGACATAACATTTTTTAACCAGTGTTAGAAGTTGATTCCTCATTTTACATAGCTATTTAGGAATTAAAAAAAAGGTGAAGAAAATATGATACATCAGATATAAGTGCCATGCTTAAGACAATTCTAATTTAAATTAATTATATTCCTTAATTCTTAAAAAACTGCCAAAACTTTTATAACACAACAAATGTATTTAATCATAAAGGATATTCACACTGCATGCATAAAACAGAACGTGTATGCAAATTCAGAATGGCAAATGAGAACCAGATTGGTGAAATACATATACCAGTAAAAAACTCACCAATCAGATTCCTGTTTTACATATGTGATTTTGCATGCAGTGGGAATTTCCCTTAATTGTCTTAAAGTGAGAATTAGATAATTCATTCTAAAAATCTGATATTTATCCAAAGCAAATATCTATATCCTTACAGCAATAGCAAAACCATGCTTTTAGGAATTATAGGTAAAATTATGCATTTAAAATCTTAAAATTATTAAGCTAAATTATTAGCACAGAAAGCCAATTAAAGGCAGAATTAAATTTCAAGTAAATAATCTATAAGTCCAGAGTTTTTTAAATACTTACATTTAAGAGAATAAAAAAATGCACACTAATAATTGTTTTAAAATGTAAATATTTTCAGTTAATAACTGTTAACACTTAACTTATTTTTATTTTTTATTTATTTATTTTTTTTTTATAATTCACTTTTTCTTACGTATAGCTTTTTTCCACCAATCATTCAAACAGTTACTGATTTTTTCCGTTTCAAAATACATTGCAATTATTGCATTAATTAACATTTTAAATAATAATTTTTAAAAAAAATTGCTCGTTGTATTTTGCTAGGATGCTTTTTTGCAATGATGTGAACGTGATTAGCAGATGTAAGGAAAATGAGTTAAATAAAATAAGCATTTAGACTTATTTTACATTGTTTAATGAAAACAATATACATTTATTTAAAAGTACTTACTATCCATAAGCAACACACTCTAAGCGAACATCATCACCAGCCAATGGAGCATCAGGAAAAGCTTTTGGAAAATTGTTTGGGAAAAACAATTTTTCTCCACTAGCTAAAAAAAAACATACTAAATTAGAAGATTCAAATATAAAAGAAAAACATATTTGGAATAAAATAATCACAACAACTAAAAATTAAACAAAAAACAAAGTTAAAATGTGCATATTTTGAATCCATGAACTAAGTACAATAAATAATGTATTTAAATACAGTAGAAATCATTATTTATAATAAAAAAATTTAAATGAAAAAAAATTAAGAAAATGTTATAAAGAAACTTGTTAAGTTTATCTCTGAACAAAATTTCAGTTGTCTCTGATAACCCCTTTCCTTCTCGCTCTCGTGAAAATGACAGGGTGAGGTTTTGCCCTCTATTTCTTGCTCCCCTGATACTTCTGGGCTGGCGTGTTCAGTAGTAACGTGCCAATAAGAATAAAACTAATTCATTTCTTTTGCCCGGAAAACATTATATTTCCCATTTTACACATCAGATGGCAGTACCAGGATATTTTTAGGGTAATTGTAGATAGTGAGTTTATTTTATTAGAAGAAACAATAAGAGATGTATGAGATATATGAAAACAATAAGAGATGTAGGAAGGAAACTCGGTACTACTGTCCAGATTGTGATGTTGGCCTCTGTATCTCATGCTTTGAAATTTATCACACAAGCAAAAATTACTAATCTTTATTTATATTATACATAAGTTTAATAAAATAATTTTTAATGCTAAAAACACATATTTTTTAAATTTTCCTTGCTTGCTGGAAAACCAACATCAGGTCATAGTAACCCTGAATGCTGGCTGTTCCTAAAAAAAAATTTTTTAAATTTCAAGCTAAAAACAAATCAAAAATTAAAAATGAATATATATATTGTTCATACGCATATTTTTATGTAATTTTCATGGATAAAAAAAAAATAGGCACTTTTATGACCGTTTTCTTGGAAATCAACCGATCATTAAGAGGTTAAAACAAAAACATTAAAATGTTTGATAAGAAAATTTAAGAAAAATTCTGAATAAATAAGCACAGCATTTTTTTATTTTTAAAAGTAAAAAATTTTTGAATTTATAGGCCTACAAAAGTCTAAATACTTCAGTTGCTGGACATGAGAGTTTAATGGAGCAAGAACTGAAAGTGGTTTGACTGTGTCACACATAAATGTTATTATGTATTCAAAAAAATAAAGTCAAACCAAGTTATAAATTGAGATGAATGCAAAATAAAAAGAGTTACTTATACATTAGGTTAGCTGGATGTTGAGGAAATCATAATTAGTGAAATGTAAACTACTTGAGGACATTATATACTTCCGTTCTATGGCCTAAAAATATTATTCAATCTGTTTTAAAACAGACCTTTAGATACATTAAATATAATCATACAATATAAAAACAATTTCAACTATTAAAATAAACTATCAAAAGTTGCAGCACCAATTAAAAAGTTTTCACACATGTTGAAATCAGTTCAATAGAAGATTAGAGAAAACAATTCTTAAGTATATCTGAATTTTAAACATTTTCAATGTAACACACATTGTTACTGTTAAGTTTCTATTAAATGAGCTATAACAAGTATAGCATTTTTGTAAATGAAATTTCATAAAAGATTTTTTTTTAAAATATTTAAAAAACAGCTTGGAAAAAACAGCAAATTCTAACTATGTTAAAAAAATAATATAAGTAGAAAACAACTTACAAGCAGGCTCAACAAAAAATTGAAAAGATGGACCATTACGGCCACTTGAACTTATGGTGCTTTGGACATTGCAAGAATATAGGGCTTCATCAACATTTTCCAGGGAAGAAAAATATAAATTTCCATCATGTGAAACAAAAACTCTTTGATCTTCTTGAACAAAATTCGGCCAGTGATTTCTTGTCCAATAATAATTCACTCCTAAAACCAAGTAAAGATTAAAAATAATATAATAAGTAATATATTCTAAACATAATTAAGTAGTTTTAAAAATTTAAAGGATACTTAAAATTATTGTGAATAACTATTAAAGAACGATGGAATTTTTGAAAATGAGTTTTTATGATTGCTAGTAATCATGAGAAAGAAATTAAATTTAAATATTTTATTTTAAAGCTAAATTATAAAGAAAAGCAACCTATTTTATACCATGAAATAGCATTGGAATGCAACTAATTAAGCCAATAATAAAAATATAAAAATTTTCTCATTGGATGTATAAATACCTTATTTGTATAGATATCTTATATCGTAATTGGATAAATATCTTTTTTTTTTTTTTTTTATTAGCAGTCCAGTATATACTTTATTTATTTTCACTGTGTGTAAATTTGCATAAAGATTTTTATATTAACTTGTAGTCATATGGGTTCCTCAATCTATGTACTTAATAAGCCTAACCAAACAATAATAAAAAATTTTAAGGTTAAGGAATTGTTAAGATTAAGGAATTATTTATAGCTTGTTTTCTTTTCTTTTTAATAGTATTATATTTTTACTTATTTCATACATGTTGGTAATGAACTAGGCTTTGGCTTAAAATACATTACTGCAAATTCTTGTAGCGTGTTTATTTACCAGCATTTCATCTATTCGACAAAGCCCTACACCATTTGTAGAACATTTAACATCACATACTATAGATCACACATACTATAGACCACACAGATTATTCACAATATGTCCATACCAAGTATTTCCACACTGAGTTAATATCTTAAAATTTTAATTAATACCTTATTAAAAAAAATTTTGAACTTATTAAAGATAACTTTGTTCTTTATTTTAAATATTATTTACTTTATTTCTGCTTTTTAATATTTTGGTAGTCTGTCATATTTTTAAATTAGCAACAGCTGCAGATAATTCCTTACTAAAATATTTGCTAATTCACATAACATATGATAATATCTAATAATTTGAAATAATATATGATAATATTGGTTTTAATTAAATTAACTTTCAATTGCATAATCATTGTAATAAATTCTTTGTATTTGTTACTGAGGTTGCTAAAATAATTCTTTGTTATTTACTTCACATTATTGAATTCTGAAATTCATAATGTAGAAACAACTGCAATTTTAATATAAAAATCCAACACCTTCTAAAACCATTTTTAACCCCTGACAAATAATTACTTGGAAAAGGATGTTTTTTAATTGTTATCATTAATCCTATTAGTTTTGAATGAACAAATAACTTTTAACATAAAATAATTAATTGATGGCATTTCATTGTTTGTCTATTTGGCCATTGTTTTGTATACATTAAATAAATTGAATGAATTATTATTATTTTTTAAGTTATGATCTTATACAACACCATATGCAGTGGTGAATGGGTTAAAAAGAAAAAGTTGACAAGTATATATTTTTAAAAAGTCCATTTTAACTATACTAAAATATTTTTTCGGACAGAGTGAAATATATTTACTTGGATAATGTTGAGGAGGATCACAAGATAAAGATTTCCCACGATTTTTTTTTCCTCGGTCAGATGATCGCTTCTTATTAAATTCTCCAATATCTAAGAAATAATAATTTTTATTATTTTTATAAAGAACTTACAAGGATAAATACACTAAAAAATATTAGTGGAAGGGAAATGAAACATTTATTTCGTCACTGATGCAGAGGTGCCAACTTTCCAAACAGTTTCCAATTACCAGAATTATAATAATACACATAAAGTAAACAAATTCAAATTACTGTACCTTCAAGGAGGTTTTACTACTTAAATCTATATAGGTATATACCTAATATTAATAATATGCATTAATTTATTATTAAATAAAAAAATTACACTTAAGAGGGGTTTTTTTTTCAAATATTAGCTCCAACAACAAAATTTCATAGCTCTTGGTAGGAAAGAAACGAAAAAAAAATTTGGGAAAAAGAAAAGGAAAAAAGAAATGTAAAGGGAAAAAAAACTTTTTTAACCAATTATTACAAACATTTTTAAAAATCATAATTTGTAATATCCATCTATAAGACTGTAATCTTGACAAAGAAATTATAATAATAGTTTTCATCTCCACTTATAGTTAAAATATATATCACAGGGATTTTAATCTTTTTTCATTATATATAGAATTTGGTAAGAACAACTGATTTTTCATAGTGGTCAAAATAAAATAATATCCATTATAAAGAAATGTAAAATTTTCAGTGAAATGGAATTATTTTATTTTTAATTGAAAAAAATAACATTCTATAGGTTATTAAGAGTATGGATGGGAAAGTTTAAACATCCAGAATATTTGGAAACCTGCAAATTCTTCAAACATTATAATAACTACAAGTTTCGGCTTTAAACATCCCTTTGGCTAATTACTGAGTTACCTAGTAAGTTAAATAATTATAAAATTATGAACTTTTAAAAATTACAAAGTATACCCAATCCATGTAACTGTTAAACTTTGTATAATTTAGGAATATATAAAAATAAAGTATAGAATAAAAACATTTTATTATAAATATTTATAAAGAGCATCTATGTGATACATATGCAACAATAAAAATAAACTTACATCCAAAACTTAATTGCACAGTTTGACTAACAACAACTCCAAATTCATTTTCAGCAGTACAATGATAATTCCCTCTGTCTTTATTTTGTTGAGGACTGCTGATAATTAAAGTACCATCAGTCTGAGTATATCGGGGATCACTTAATGGGTCAACAAGTTCACTGACTAGAACATTTTTAAATTCCTCCTTTAAAAGAATAAATTGAACAAAAAAATTAGAACATTAAGCAAACGTAAAAAAAAATAAAGAATGTCTTACACTAGCATACCTTGTACCATTTGTAGATTGGTGATGGGAAGCCGGCTGCAACACATTTAAGGGCAACATTATTAACTTGTTTTCGAGAACCTGGGTCAAAAATAACAGCCTCTGGCTCTTGTATAAAATAAGGACCTCTGGGAATCTTTTCTTTATCAAAAACAACAATACCGTAATCTATATTGAAAAATAAATTCAATTGCATTCTTATTTCGTTGAAATCAAAGCCTTAAATATAAATCAAATATAATTACACACAGGATAACATATAAGTGTTCAGTCTTTTATGTTACCATTCTACATAAGTAAATTAATAAAGCAAGCAAAATATAATGTAAAAACAATAATTTATTAAACACACTCTTTCAGAAGTGAGAATGATAATTCTGATATGACGTCAAGTGAAATATTTCAATCACAAAATTATTGCCTTATCTCAATATCATGGACATAAGAAAATATTTAATTTTTCTGATAAAGGTTAACACAGCACCAATTTTATAAAAAAAAATAAAAATCAATATTTTTTTCTTATGCACTACATCATATTATTACTGTGTTTAAAGACAGTTCGCATTCTTCAAAACATGATACTCTTATAGAAATGTACATACATTCCCCACTGTGATACAATTTTTTATAACAAAAGTTATCCTCAATAAAAATACTGCATGAAACGTCTAATTATTTTAATTAACAAATAAATAAAATTTAACAAAATCAATTTTATAATATACTTTCTACATATTAAGAAAATTTCCCTTAAGAAGCTTCTTCCTTTTCCATCTTGGATCTTTGTCTAAATTTCTGATTTTTGTTTTCTCGACATTTTTCTTTTCTTAAGAAACTTTTGATGATAGACTAACATTTGACACCTTTAAACAAAGTTATGAAAAAAGAGAATAGAAGAAACAGCACCTGATAGCTTTTAGAACGTCTATATAATTTGTTTCTCAAAAATTGATAGCAATAAATTATTTGGTTAATAATTACAGATAGGTAATCTAATACTGAACATTTGTCTGTTTTTAAAATTTACTTTTCTTATTGTTTAAAAAGTTGAAAAAAATTTGTGTGATGTTGAAAAATTGTTATAATGTTAAAACCAAAATAAAAAATTTTAACCAAAATCTAAAAACAGGCACACTATATTAGTAAACTACCTTTAGAAAATGCTGAATACAAAATTCATATTTTTTCCAGAAAAAATCAATTGAAAATCTAAAATATTGTCCACTATATATCTTTAATTCTGATTTGGTAATGCAGGCCCGTCCCTAACCGATTCGAGAGGGGGGTGTTGAAGTATATTTTGCCGACTGTCATGTGTGTATATATATATATATATATATATATATATATAAATAAGTTATCTTCAAAAACTATTTATGATCAATTTTTAAAATTATCCAGTATAATATTACCTTGTGCACATCNATATATATATATATATATATATATATATATACAATTTGTATATGGCTAAAGCTTGATAATCAAAGGTAAAACAAATCAAATAAAAGAATTGAAATGCGCCGCAAAACTTGAGCTTATAAAGTTTATTTTGAAATCATTTCGACTAGTTATAAACATAATGCAATTCATCGAAATAATTTTTACAGCACTTAAAAATGCAACCGCCATGGGTGAAAAATGAGGTATTATTGATAGCTAAATACCAGCAATTATTCAAAATAATGCAAAGAAAATATACTTTTTACATTTCTGTTAATTTTAATTATTAAAATGGTAACAAAATATTAAAGAAAAAAAACTATTTTTAAATAAACTGAAACTTATTCAATTAAAATAAGTTTTCAGTAATATTAAGCAGCAATTATTTGTGGAAATAATTTTAAAAAATAAAGTTGTAAATTTAAATGTTTTTCAACGCCACTTTGAAATACTTTTTACTTTATATTTAAATATTTTTTGGAAAATCACTTGGTAATTAAAATATATCTTTTGTTTCATTTAAACGTTGTTACCATAAGTTAATTACAGCAACTGTTTGAAGATGAGAAAGTAAGTCATAATCATCAAAAATACAGACTTCTTTAAGATATTGATTCAAAACAAAATTTATTCAAAAGTAAATTGACCTTTCATTTTTAAAAAATAAGAAAAAAAATTTAGAAAAACATTTAAAATATTTGCCATTTAAATTATAAATGAAGAAATTCACGTAAAAATGATAAAAAATTAAGATATTAGTAAAATTACGTTATATTATATTAGCTACATAAATTTACTTCGATGTTGATTTAAAAGCAAAAAATATTCTACCAACTTATCACGCTTAATATTGCCAACAATATCTTCTTCTGCTTTGAGTAAAAGCAGTGAATTAAGGCGTCCAGTGGTCATTGTTGTTCGAAGATAGTTTTTAATCAATTTCATCTTGCTGAAAGTTCTTTCATTTGTCGCAACTGTCATTGGTGCAGTTAACGCTAATAGATTTAACAATAAAAACTTATGAAAGCATTTATGCTAAAATGTATGATCCTGCATTTTTAATACAAACTGTGAATTGAATTTTTACATAATTACAAAATATTAAGTTTTTTTTACTAATAATTAACTTAAATGAAAAACTGTTAACTTCAGTCAAAAAGATAATATAGAAACATTAAATAATTATACACATAAGAAATACGTCAACCCCGCTCAAAGGAATACCATCGGTTCCAGCCAAATCTATGCAATTAAGCGGGTTATTCGATCAAAAGGGGAGTGCAATATTCAATCCAAAATTCTGAATTTTTACGAAATTTTACTTTTTAATGGTGTTTAATGCATAGTATAGTATTTTGATTAAATAAGCTCAGTTTTATGATCAATAAACAATTATAATTAAAACTGTATGCATTAGTATCATAAAATATAAATGTCATTTAAAATTACATAAAAATAAATCAATATTAGTAAAAACTATAATGTAGGTACTGAAATATTAATTGATCCCTTCCGAAAAAATCTATAATTGAAGACTGTTTTTTATACCCGTTGAATTCATCAAAATTAGATATTCCCTTTTAGTTTCTACTAAAAATTTCATGACTTGCGTGTATTCCTTTCAAACACATTCAGAATTTTTTTTTACTTATTTATTTTTTTCAATCTTCGAAACTTGAGAAATTTTAATTAATGCTCTATTTAAATTAATGCGCTATTTTAGTTAAGGGTTTTCTGAAATTTATTACTTCTAAGATTCATTGTTTTGCTTTTTTCCGATTAATTTAAATCATTCCTCTTCGCTCTCAACTTGCACCAAACTCAAAGTCATTAAATGGGTTAAGCAATTATTCTATTTAAGAGAAAGACTCTCTGTACTCTAGTGTGTTAGGTTTTTGAAACTTTTTCTTATCAAAGTTAGTAGTGCATCAACAGGGGATCACAAGTCAAATCACTCTATCCTTTTTTTACACTCTAAATGATGTGTGTGTGAAGTAAGTCAAAGAGGGGTAAAAACTCCTTCGCTTACTTCAATGTATAAAACTGGCAGCAAGATTTGATTAATTTTTCAACTTTACCCCTAACACCTACTAATGAATAAGAAATCCCTATTGAAGTGACCACATATTGTATCTTTATCTTAACTGAAAAAGGGAAATTCCACTTTAGCTGGTGAAACATTTTTCAAAAATAAACAATATTTTTTTCATTTCAGTACCACTTCTTTATGCAATTAGGCAGGGGCAAAAAACAACAAATAACCGTTTAAACGGGCAAGTTTAACATTAGTTTCTTCTAAAATGATTTGGTTCCATTAAATTTTATTCGTATAAGCGGGTAATTCGATTATGCGATTAAGTGGGGATGACAGAACAAAATAACTAAAAAGAATTATTTATCAAAAAAAACTGAATTTTCTATTTTTAAACACGTTACATTTTCAATAAAATTAGCATTAGTACATTTTTCTTCATAAAGGATTGCAGTTTGGACTTATAAAAACAAAGCCTACGAAGAAATATAGAATTTGAAATTTCAATTAAATAAGATATATGAAAAATAATTTCAGCTGAAAAAATCTAAAAAAGAAAAAAAAAAACCTATTTCAAGCACAAAATAAAAGCTTAGTAAAAAGTAAAAAACGGAAAAAGTATCCAATTTTCAGAATTCAAATGTGATTTATCTTTTTCTATCCCTAGCTCCTACTAATGAATATAAATAACATAGCATTTTTAATTGCTCTTTTTTCTTTCTTTTAATTATTTTACTGCACAAAAAAGATTAAAAAAATAATTTTATCTGCTTCATAAAAATCAATTTTTACCCGAAATAATTTAATTGGAAAGTAATAACACATTTAATGCAATTTAATTAAACTTAATATTTAAACAATAAGACTGCAAATAATAAATATGTATTCATAAAAAAATTATACTTACATTCAAAATTTAGACTGCGGTAGATAGGATGATCGTTGGCATGTGAGCAGATTTTCTATTTTATTCAATAATAATATGAATTTATAAAATACGCTTAGAGTAACTAAGTATCCGTACATGACAGTTAAAGACAGGTCAGTGAAGTAATTGGTACCACAGCTGCCTGTGCTTTGAGCCCCTTCCTTCCCCTTCTTAACCACATGGACAAAGATATTGTCTTTATTCTCAGAAAGAGTAAGAGAAAACATGAGAAAATATAGCTTAGGGCATTTCTAGCTAACCACTTTTAAAAGACCCTCGATTTTTCAAGTTGACAGAAATATCCGGGGTTTTGTCTGCTGCTTCACAAGATCGAGTCGCAGCTCCATCCTTTTTTGCGCCTTTTCATAGTGCCCGTAAGCGGCTTGATCAAACAGAATTGCCACTTCTCCGTGAATATTCGGAATTCTCTATTTTCACCATATTTTTATTGAAATAATTAATGAATCCGAAATTACAACATTTAACACTTTGAACTCGGCAACCATTCTCAAATTGTGTGAAATGATCGAAGTGTTGATTCGATTGAGTGTAACTCAATTTAATGTTTCAGAATTCTTAGGATTCTTGAAAAAAAAAAATTAAAAGCAAAAAACAATATTTTATTTTCAAAACGGAAACTTTTATAAAGGTGAATTGAGGATCACATATATGTTAATTATTTTCCATAGAGAATATCAAATTTTGTTGTCATGATTAATTGTTCTAAAGATATGAATTAGTCCCTGAACACTTTATTTTAGGTTAAAAAATTTTGAACTCAAGTAATAATTCAATCATCATAGAATTTTAAAAGTTATGAACTGAATGGTAGTTAACAAATTAAATGTTTTTCTTTTCTTTTTTGGAGTTAGGAGTCCTTTGGAGTTAGTAAAATTCTTCATAATAGATAAATATCGTTTACTAATTGAAAATATAAATTATTTAATAATTTGTGTTATTTAAACAGAATTTAACAATTTAAATAAGATATTTTGAATAATAAAGTATCCTATTTAATAGGTACTCTTATTTGTAATTTTTTCCCTATATTTTGAAAGAAAAAAAAATTGGTTGCATCACCGGCACGATTATTTCATATAAAATTTATAATTCTTTTAAAAAAAAATCATGTAAGTTCATCAGTTCCTTTAAAAAAATTACTTAAACCTCTAATAAAGATTTAATATAATTCAGATAAATAATATCTGAATTTTATGATACATTATTAGCTAACTAAAAATTAAGGTCACTACAAAATTTTTTTAAATTTAAGAATGTGTCGTTGAAATAATAATACAAGAGAAACGGTTTTTGAGATTTTGGTATGTAATGTCGGTCATCTTGCTTTGAATTATCATAAATGGTTACTCTTGGAAGAGAAGAAAAAAAACTAAATTTAAAAACACATTTCACAACAAGATTTGCCGAGTCGATCCCGAAACGAAATTCAGATAACATTGAAATCCGTTTAAATCTCATCACCGATGAAATATCCGACAATGAAAGAATTTCGGCAAATCCGGGATTTTGGCTTGTAAAAAATAACAATTTTTTAAAAAAATGCCGACTCAACCTGAATTTGCCGACTGGATGATATCTCTGGGGGGGGTGAGACACCCCTCTCACCCCCCGTTGGGGACGGGCCTGGGGTGATGGCCTAGTATTTCACATGTTTCAAAGGATAATGCTAAGAAGAGTTTTGTCAAGCATCAGTTTATTTGTGAAAGTTTGATTAAGATGATTAAAACTATATATTCGAAAAGAGGCCTTTTAAATAACCACTACCACAATGTGCACATATTCAGTATGTGCAACCACAATCACATTTCTGCTTCAACAGTTCTTTTCTTACTAATATTATTTGATTTTTTAGTCAGATTTAAATTTGTGGCATCAAGTCAATATTAAGGAGGATATATAAGATAATATTCATGCTCAGAAAAGAAAAGAACAATATTAGCCAGAAATGCTTCTTACTTTTCATTACTTTTTCCCTTTACTATGCATAGTTATGCTAATGTTTGCTATCTCACAGACGTTTTTTTTTTTATTTATATCACATATGTAGTAACAGAAATGATGCAAAAAGGTAAAGAGTGGTGACTGTATCGTGATTCAAGATTTGCGTTAATTAAGTTGATCTATTTTGCACATATCACGACAAACATTTCTTATATATATCTAATATGTGTTTATAGAAAAGATAAACAAAAATGTAAAAGGTGAGGATTTATTTGTGACTCAAGATAGCAAAATATTCTTGATTCTATCGCTATTTTAATTTTTAAAAAAATTTCACAAGAGAATGTCCAAAGATCTTCACTCTTTAACTAGTTTCATCTTTTCAACAACTCTTATAGAATGCTTATTGTAGCAGAATAAATATTTAGGTATCTGAAAAGCAGTAAGAAGAAAGAAATGATAGTTTTTATTATTAATATATTTAACAGAAGTGAAAAAAAAAATTTTAAAAAGTTTTCATACGCCTGGATATGGGACTTTGTACTTTACTATCTTTAACAAGGAACAGGAAAAAAAATTTACACTTATTCTTACAAACAATTATTGCCAAAACTTTAATTAATGTGCCATTTTATGACACATAATATGATCAGATTTTGTGCTATTGAAGACACAGATATAAAAAGCTATCCACAATAATTATTTGACAATTTATAACAAATTTAGCAATTTCCAAAATCATTTATTTAATAACTAGCTATTAAACATGATAAAATTAAGTTACATATTTCACTGTTTCTTACCAATATCTCGTTCAGTAATTATTAATTGATTCAGATTTTCTTTCCAAATTTCACAAATGTAAGCCATTAATTCAGTAGAATCTACTTTCTGAAGACCCCATTTATTGGCCAAATCAGAGTAACTATGTAAAAATAAAAAAGAAGTATAAGATATAATAATTGTAAGCTAATATTTTATAAGTAATCTCAGAGATGCAGAAAAATTAACTAGATTTCAAAGTTAGATTCTACATTTTGAATAAGAATGCATAAGATATTACATTAAATTGAAACGAGATTTGTAAGCAGAAATGTTTACAAAAATATTAACTACATAGCAAACATAAAAAATAGTCAGCAAAAATTGAGATAGATACAACTCTATTTTATAACACATTAAGCTTTCTGAATCCTTAACTCAACATTTTCATGAGTTAGCATGCTATTTCAATTCTGTAATATTTGTAAAAGTTTTTTTTTATTTTTAAGTTAATGAAATAGTTTAGTCCTAAGCCTATCTTTAAATAAAAAATACAACTCTTTTAAAGTATTTATTGAAGAAATCATTACATTCAAGGATACAAATAAAATATTTTAATTATTTTATTTTAAAGAAAACCAAACATACTTTCAGAAATATTTATCTCGATGTAAGATATCAAATCATTTTTCCTTTCTGCATATCTGAAATATTATATGGCTAAAGCAATAAATATTGTATAAAAGTACAGCTTGCTTCTGTTTAACGATTTCGAAGAGATCGTGAAAAATCACCTTTAAATAGACTTTGTTGAAAAATAACGTTTGAAAAACCCTTCACACTTTTGCAGGTGCAGAATTATCAATTTATTTCATGATAACTCTGAATGATAGAAAATGTTTTTATTTTTATTTCATATTGCATTGCACAATATATATGAATAAAATTAAATAAAATACTAAAAGAACAAATTCGATTTTTATAAAAAAAATTAAATAATTATTGATTGTTTCAATTGTAGTCTTGCTTTAATAACTTCTTCGCAGGGGCGGATCTACTTAAGGGCTTTTTGGGCTGCACCCCAGGGCCCCGTGGATACAAAGGGCCCCAGTCCCCACTGAAAACAATAGGTGATATTTTGAATTAAAAAATATCTAATATTAAAAAAAAATTATTATAAGGTTGGCAACCCAGAGATCAATCAACCCATGCATGTGCGCGTCTGTCGAGCGGAACGGGGAATTCCCCGTCGCTTGTTTTGGTCAGTGTATTTTTTCGCGTCTATTACGGGGGACTTCCCCCCTCTCCGCTTAACGCCCGGCGTAATTTTTTTCCGCACTTCTGTTAACGTCGTCAAAGTGACAAACTTGTTTTGTTTACTAATAAATGATAACTTAAAAATTATAAAGACTGGACCTTTCTCTTATTTTCCTTATAATTGAAAGTACATAATCAGCATAAGAAAAGATTTCCTGCTCTTAGTTGGTAAGTAAAAAGAACTATAAATCATGCTTATTTTGTTTTTAATGTATTTTTTCAATACTAAATGAGCTTTCTAATCGATTTTCAATGATAATTTGTGAATTACTGCACTCATTACAAAGTATTAAAATGTGACGTGAAGAACAATATTACATTGATTATCTCGTTCCCTGTTTATAACCAGAAAATTATCAACTTCATTGTTTATTTTCAGAAAAATATCAAAGTCTTATTTTACAATATGTCTGGTAGAAAATATAAAAGTGGAGCTGAGAAACGGAAATTACAGCTAGATCGAGAAAAAGAAATAAAGAAGTGTGCAAAAATTGAAACTTTTTTCAAATTAGAATATAAAAACGAGAATGAAATAGCTACAAATTTATTAACAAGGGAAAAGGAAGGGATCTTATCCGAAGAGAATCTATTTGAAGGGAGCAGAAAATCGCAACACCAGGGGAAAAAAACAAGTGATGAAAATGTGCAAAGTCTTGACTACAAGCAACCCTCTGATCCCACTGAAAACTATATTGGTGTTCAGCAAGAGGACGGTAATATCGAGGCGGAAAGAAATTTAGAGAATATTAAGTTTGAGTTTGAGAAATATGCTACCGTGGGCTTGTGGCCAGAATTTCTAAACAATGATTTTATTAATGACATCCTCTCACATGGAATGACTGACTTTCAAAATAAAGATCCGAAAAATATATATTCAGCTTCAATAAAGAAATACAAAGAACAAAACAGAACATCTTCAAATAGATATTTCATTAAGAAAATGAAAAACGGTCAATCACTGGAAAGATCTTGGTTATGTTATTCAACCAGGGTTGGTACTGTTTTTTGTTTGACTTGCAAACTTTTTTCTAAAATCCCTTCTCAATGCATAACGGGATTTTCTGATTAGAAACACTTAGAAAATCATGAAAATTCTAATGAACGTAAGAAATCAATGTTAGTGTGGTTGACACAAAAAGAAAATAGATCTGTTTCAGACAAGCAGCTTCAGAAGCAATTAAGAAAGGAAACAGGATATTATCACAATGTCCTAAAACGGGTTATTGCAGTGGTCAAATTTTTAAGTATAAGGCGCTTAGCATTTAGAGGTTCCGAGGAAGTATTTGGTTCACCACATAATGGTAATTTTATGGGTGCTCTGGAGCTATTGGCAGAGTTCGATCCATTCGTTCATGAACACATTGAACAACGAGAGCTGCGACCAAAACCGATAATATCGTACTTATCAAAAACAGTATATGAGGAAATAATTGAGATTATAGGCCGACAGATAATTAAGCAAATTATTACTCAAATAAATAACGACGACACAAAGTATTATTCAATTGCGATGGATTCTCCCCAGATCTATCTCACAATGATCAACTTGCTATTGTATTACGGTACTGTTTTCGGGGATAAGTGTATGAAAGATGTGTATCCTTCATTAAAATTAGTAGTCATACTGGCTTACATTTATTTAATATTCTACAAGACTTTTTAGAAACAAATGGACTACTACTGGATAATTGTAGGGGACAATCTTATGACAACGCTGCTAATATGGCAGGTCACTACAATGGTGTACAAGCACTATTAAAACAAAAATATAAATCCGCGGATTATGTGCCGTGTGTTGCGCGTTCCCTTAACCTAGTTGATGAAGAATCTGTTAAGGTTGCAACCGATATTGTGAACTTTTTTGGAGTAGTGCAAAAAATATACATTTTCTTTTCTATTTCGACCCATAGGTGGGAACTGTTAAATAGCGAAACAAAACTCACATTTAAGATAAAAAGCTTAAGCCAGACCAGATGGTCTTGTCACTATGATGCAGTCAAAGCTTTGAAAAATAATTATGATGACATTAGGAAAATTTTCGAAAGTTTCAGCGAAAATGAGGATGAAAAAGTTGATTTCCGGAAAGAGGCATGAAATTTATTCTATAAAATGGCGAAACTCGATACTGCAATTTTGATTATTTTTTTAGAAGAAATTTTGGGGAGATTTAATTTAGTTAATAAAAAAAATAAAGAGCCCTGGTTAAAATTTTGTGAAGGCAACAAGTTAATTGTGTCATTAAAAGACTGCGTGAACAACATAAGGCACCAATCAGATCAGAAGCAAAAGGAATACAAAGAGAAAGATAAAAATTTAAGTACTAGTGTGGGAAGAGACTACAATGACATAAACAAGAGACGCATTACTCCAAAATTTTCAGATAAGTCTACAGATAAATTTTCAGTATGCGGCGCAGAAAATTTAAAAGAGACACGATAAAAGTTGCGTTGGATAAGCTGATTATGGATTTAAATAAAAGGAGCCAAGTCTGTGAGATGTATGGCAAGAAATTCAAATTTTTAATGGATTTGCAAGACAAAAATATGGAAAACATAGGTCTGGAAAGTGTACGTAATATTGTTGATTATTATCCAGATGACGTAGACAAGCATTTAGTGAATGAGTGCATTTAGTGAATGAGTGCATTCAGTTAAAATCTTATTTACTTCAGTCTAAGCCAGAGTCTTACACCTCTTCCGGTGAAATTTTTATGCTAATTTATAAAAAGAAACTTGTTGATGTTTTCCCAAATTGCTATACTATCTTAAAGATTTTTTTAACTTTGCCAATCACTAGCTGTGAAGCGGAGTGCTCTTTCCCCAGGATGATATATATAGAAAACAAATATAGGACTACAATGTCGAACCAACGACTAAATCATTTATCAGTTCTTGCCATAAATTGTGATTTAACGAAGGACTTACAATGTGATGAGCAAATAAAGGAATTTGCAGCACAAAAATGCAGAAAGGTTGCTTTATATTTTATATAACATAACTACACATAACCTGCCAATTTCTTTTGTAATAATGTTGTACAGTTGCTATTTGTATACACAAATGAAAATAAATAAATAAAAAATAAATAAAATTATTTTATTGTCCTATTTTTTCTATATACTTATCTGCATCACTATAGAAATCAGTTTCTTGACAAAATGGCTATTAGGGCCCCTAAGTAGTTTCAGCCCAGGGCCCCACAAATTCACGATCCGCCCATGCTTCTTCTTCTAGTTTTTCAATAATTTTAAAGGAACCATCTCCCATATTAGATAATATATCTTCTTGAAACATCAAGAGTAGAAGTTGCATGTCTTTAAATAGAGATTTTTTTACAATTTTACAAGCTGTGGCACCAACATATTGTCTTGAAATAGCGACTGTCATTAAGTCGAGCACCATTAATGAGAAACTGGATAGTATTAGGAAAAGTTAGTGTAGTTTAAAATGTACAGTAGAGAACCGATTATCCGGAACGATTGGGACTATCACTATTCCGGATAACTGATTTTTCCGGTTTTCTGAATCGCTACAAAAAGCCGTTTTTTCTATTGTTAAAGTAGGCTTTCGAACTATNTGGAAATAATCTTTAAAATAAGAAAAAACGATGAGGTAATACACTAATGATTATTTCTGAAATGATGGTAAGGTACATCTTTCAAAAAAGAAAGAAAAATCGTAAAATCTCATGAGGAAAAAAAAAATTTTTTTTAAAAATTGCGGAAAAATTTCGTTCCGGTTTTTTGGTTTTCCGGTTTTCTGATTTCCGGATAACGGGTTCTGTACTGTATTTCCAACATTCTTTAGAAAATAAATAAATAAATGGGTTTCCTTTTATCAAATCAAT